CAGGCCGCAGTGCGAGGGGGGCGAGGACGAGCAGGAGTGCGGTGAGTGGGGGGCGGGGCTCCCTCCGCGGGGGGCCTCCCCGGGTGGCCTGCTCACACCCCCTCACACCCTGCCGTTGCAGGCACCACAGACTTCGAGGCCCCCCCCACCGGGGGCTGGGAGGACGCCAGCGTGGGGCGGCTGCAGTGGGGGCGCCTCCCGGCCGAGGAGAGCAGGGGCCCCGGCACGGATGCCAGCGGGGCTGCAGCTGGTGAGCCGCCCCCCCACCCCCCACCCCGGGCAGCCTGGAGCCTCTGCTCTGCCTCTTCCGCAGGGGGCGGGGGTCCAGAGCTGGGGGTCCCTGGAAGGAGTCGCTCTAAGGCCCTGCTCTCCCAGGGCACTTCCTGTCCCTGCAGAGGGCCTGGGGACAGCGGACAGCAGCGGCCAGGGCCCTCACCCCCCCCCTGGGCCCCTCGGGCCCCCACTGTGAGCTCCACATGGCTTACTTTCTGCAGAGCCACCCCCAAGGTACTGCTCACCTGCCTTCCCTGGGGCCTCTGCCCAGCCCTGAGGGGTGGAGCTGGGAGGTGGGCCCTGCAGGAGGGTGCCCTGCAGGAGGGGGGCGGACAGCTGACCTGGTGCCCCCTCGGGCAGGCTTCCTGGCGCTGCTGGTGGTGGAGGGCGGTGCCAGGGAGCTGGTGTGGGAGGCCCGGAGCAGCAGCAGCGCCTGGAAGGCGGACACAGTCCTCCTGGGGCAGCGCCGCCGGCCTTTCCAGGTGAGGGGGCAGCCACGTGGGGGGGGGCCATGGAGCTGCCTGGACCTAACAGCCCTCCCCCGCGCCCCCATGAAGCTGGAGTTTGTCGGCCTCGTGGACTGGGAGGGCCCTGGCCAGCAGGGCGCCGGGGTGGACAGCGTGACCCTGAAGGACTGCAGCCCCGCTGTGGCCACCAAGAGAGACACAGGTCCCACCCCCATCCCCACTCCTCCACCCAGACCACCTCAGGGACCCCAGAGACCCACCCGAGAGCTCGCCTCCCAGCTTCCCAGGTCTCAGGAGGGATGGAGGGGGGTCCTGGGCGTGGTGCTGATCCCCCCTCCCCTCCCAGAGGTCTCCTGTAACTTTGAGCAGCACACGTGTGGCTGGCACACAGGCCACCTCACCGACGCCCACTGGCACCGGGTGGAGAGCCGTGGGCCTGGGTACGACCACACCACAGGCAAAGGTAGGTGGGAGCACCCAGACTTAGGGGCAGTGCCCAGGCCTGGGAGTGGTTTTGAGGCCTGGGCTGGAGGGCAGCCTCTTGGAGTCCGTGCAGCTCAGCCGTGTCCACTCCCCCGCCTGCAGGCTACTTCATGCTCCTGGACCCCGTGGACCCGCCGGCTCGGGGCCCTGGTGCCCACCTGCTCACCCAGCCCCAGACGCCGGCAGCCCCTCAGCAGTGTCTGTCCTTCTGGTACCACCTCCACGGGCCCCAGATCGGTGAGTGCCCGGCGCCGGGCAGGGCTTAAGGCTCAGGTGGCCCAGGTTCTGGAGGAGCTGGGGCGTTGGCAGGGAGGGCCTGGTCCCCTCTCAGCGCCACTCGCCCCACAGGGACCCTGCGCCTGGTGATGAGGCAGGACGGGAAGGACGTGCACCTGTGGTCAAGGTCCGGCACCCAGGGCAACCGCTGGCACCAGGCCTGGGCCACCCTCCACCACCCGCCGGACGCGGGCGCCCAGTACCAGGTGAGGTCTGCTCCTGGGGCGAGGGACAGGGCAAGGCCTGGCGCTGACACCCTCCGCCCCCAGCTGCTGTTCGAGGGCCTACGGGACGGGTTCCACGGCTCCATGGCGCTGGACGACCTGGCCCTGCGGCCCGGGCCCTGCTGGGCCCCCAAGCACTGCTCCTTCGAGGACTCGGCCTGCGGCTTCTCCACTGGGGACCTCTGGATGCGCCAGGCCCACGCCACGGGCCATGCCGCCTGGGGCCCCCGGGCTGACCACACCACGGAGACAACTCATGGTGCGGCCTGGGATGGGCGGGGGGCAGAGGGTGGGGCCGAGGGCGGGTGGGGTCAGGGAGGGCCGGGCGGCAGGTTGGAGCTGGCATCCTCGCCCAGGGCACTACATGATCGTGGACACGAGCCCACAGGCCCTGCCCCGTGGCCACGCGGCCTCCCTGACCTCGGAGGAGCACCAGCCCCTGGCCCAACCCGCCTGCCTGACCTTTTGGTACCACCTGAGCCTCCGAAACCCAGGTGAGGGCTGCCAGGAGGCGGGTGGTCCGCCCACACCAGCCCCGTGTCAAGCCACCTGGCAGCCACTGCTTCGGGCTGAGGGCATTGCCCCCCTGCTGACCGGGCCGGCGCTTGGGGGCAGGTACCTTGCAGGTCCGCGTGGAGGAGGCAGAGCAGCACCAGGTGCTGAGCATCAGCGAGCGCGGAGGGCTGGCCTGGCGCCTGGGCAGAGTGGCCGTGCAGGCCCAGCAGGCCTGGAGGGTGAGTGCCCAGGGCGGGGCCTTCCCACCCTGAGGGCTGTCCAGGCCAGGCGTGGAGCCGACTCACTCCGTGCCTGCCCAGGTGGTGTTTGAGGCCGTGGCCGCTGGTGTGGAGCACTCCTACATGGCGCTGGACGACCTGCTGCTCCGGGATGGGCCCTGCCCTCGGCCAGGTGGGTGCCCTCGGCCAGGTGGGCGCCCTGCAGCCTGGCCCTGGGACCTGCCATGACGCATGGGTGGGACCAACTCTGTGCCAAGCATCCCCAGCAGCGGTGGTGCCCCAGGGATGGGGGCGGGGCAGCACCACTCACTGCCGGGTCCCTTGCAGCTTCCTGTGACTTTGAGACGGGCCTGTGTGGCTGGAGCCACCTGTCCTGGCCCAGTCTGGGAGGGTACAGCTGGGACTGGAGCAGTGGATCCACACCCTCCCGGTACCCCCAGCCCCCCGTGGACCACACTCTGGGAACTGACGCAGGTGGGTCTGGGTCAGGGAGGGGCCCCAGAGCTACACACACACAAGGGCACCCGCCACACCCCCGCCAGGGCCAGCAGCCCAGCTCAGCCAGGCTCCCTCAGGGTCAGAGGCCTCTGGCCAGGGGTCAGTTCCCATCCTATCACTGGGCCCCCCTTCCTCTCTCGTTCCCAGGCCACTTTGCTGTCTTCGAAACAGGAGTGCTGGGGCCGGGGGGCCGGGCAGCCTGGCTGCACAGCCAGCCCCTACCCCCCACCCAGGCCTCCTGCCTCCGCTTCTGGTATCTCATGGGCTTCCCTGAGCACTTCTGTGAGTCGCTGGCCAGCAGGCGGGGGTGGTGGGGCAGCTGGGCCTGGGGCTGGCCTAAACCACCCTGGCCCTGCTCTCAGACAAAGGCGAGCTGAGGGTGCTCCTGAGCAGTGCCCGGGGCCAGCTGGCCGTGTGGGGCGCGGGCGGGCGCCTGCGGCACCAGTGGCTGGAAGGCCAGGTGGAGGTGGCCAGTGCCGAGGAGTTCCAGGTGAGGCCTGGCGCTCCGAGTGGGGGCTTGGGGAGCTCAGGCGGGGGCTCTGCCTCCGGGAGCACACACGGCCTCTCCTCCTCCTGGTCAGATCGTGTTTGAGGCCACTCTGGGCGGCCAGCCAGCCCTGGGGCCCATTGCCCTGGACGACGTCGAGTACCTGGCTGGGCAGCGCTGCCAGCGGCCTGTGCCCAACCAGGGTAAGCCCTGCCCAGGTCGGCCAGCCCTGGTCTGGGTCTGGGCTCAGCTGCTCAGCAGCTCCCAGCCCCTGTGGCTGCCCGAGAGGCTGGGAGAGCCCCCAGGGCTGGCGCTTCGCTGCCCCCCATCTGCCTCTGTCCCCTCCCCTCCCCGGGCCCCTGACTGTGCCCTGCTCCCAGGCTGAGGCTGGGCCCGGGAGGTGCCAGGCAGACCAGGGACTGCAGCCTCCTCGCTGGGCACTGGTGCTTCACCCCCAAGTGGGTCCAGCCTGGGGCCACGATGCCTGCCTGTCCTCACCTCGAGCAGTGACCCCAGGAACCCGCAGGGGGAGCAGGGCTGGGGTCCCCAGGCACCGTCCTCGGCTTGGGAGTGGGGTGTCAGGGAGGACGCACGTCCCAGGGCTCCTGTGCCCCGCGGCCCACAGGGGACTCGGTGCCGGCCATAGTGCCGGCCACGGTCGGCGGGGCCCTCCTGCTCGTGCTCCTGGTGCTGCTTGGACTCACGGGGTGGCAATGGCTGTGGAAGGGGGGCTGCCCCTCCAGGGACAGGACAGTGGCCGCGACCCCCGGATTTGACAACATCCTCTTCAACGCGGTAGGGCCCCGGGTGGGGCGGGCAGGCGGGTGGGGAGCCGTCGGGTGGGGGAGGGCTGTGCCCGGCAGAACAGAGTAGTGGGGCAGGAACCCCTCGACCCACCCACCTGCCACCCAACCCTCACCAGGCTCCTCCCCCATTCTAGGATCAAGTGACCCTGCCAGCATCGATCACCAACGGCCCCTAGGCCCAGAGGACCCGCTGCTCCCAGGAGCTCCCCACTGTGTCAGCCCTGGCCCCAGATTCGCTGAGTCCCCATCCCTCACCCTGCATCCCGCCCGCCACCCACGTTTGGTTGTAGTCCTCACCCCAACAATAAACACTCCGGCCCGGAGGGCAGCCCCTCTCGCCAGCCAGCCTGTGCACGCTGCTCTGGGGTCCCTGTGCCCCCCGCCCCCGTGCCACTCCTGAGCGGTCCCCAGGCAACACAGCTGCTCCCCAAGGACGTGAGGAAGGGAACGCCATGGTGCTGCCCACACACCATCCCCGTCTGTCCCGCCTGGGCCTGGAAGGGTGACGGCCAGGTGCTGCCCTCTGGCCTGCTCCCCTGGCCTCTGGGCCCACAGGACAATGGGCAAGGGTGTGGCCGGGGACTCGGGCCAGGGGAGGGCGGAGCCTGGTGCCAACAGGCCAGCCAACACCCACTAACTGTCCCAGCCAACACCCACTAGCATTCAGTCCCTCAGGCACCCCCACGCCCTGGGCCTGAGGGAGCAGAGGTGCAGTGGGCGGGGCCCCGTGGGACAGATGCTCACACCAGCAGGAAGGGCAGCGAACGTTTATTAGTTTATTAGCGTCTCTAGCAGCCAGAAGGGCGTCTTCCCTCTGCGGCTGGACTGGCCCCTACCCCGCAGCTCTGTGAGGCCCCTCAGCTCCCCCGGGAGCCACGCCCATGTGCCGACACCTGGGGAGGGTGGTGGGTCTGCGCCTCGCTGAGGACGGGGCAGGGAGGACACACAACAGGAGAAGCGAACACTTTGCAAGGCTTTGTTTACAGCAGGTGGTGGGGTCCCAGGCAGGCTGACACCCGTGTTCCGTGGGGCGCGTGAGGAGGCCACGCTGGCGCTGGGGGTCCAGGGAACCGCCAGACACGATCAGCCGGAACGCACTGACCTCGAGGCTTTGTGCTCATTTCGCCCTGGGCCCCTTCTCGATCGGCTTCCCAATGTCCTTCCCCCGGAGCTTGAGGCCTGAAGGAGCATCGGACACGCTGACCCACAGTCCCCCCGCACTTCAGAGGACAGGGGGGGGGCACCCACTGGCCATGCACACTCACCCCTTCCCCACAGCAGGGAGAGGGAGCGGGAGGCAGCCCCACTACGGCCTGGCCCCTCGACCCAAAGCAGACGCCGTTCACTCCCCAGGACGGCAGCTCTGTGCCTAGGCTCCAGGCTGACACCCAGGGGGCGTGGGCAGGGCAGGGCAGGAGCCAGGAGGACCCCAGAATGGGGGGTGGGGTGGGGGTGGGGCCAGTGGGGAAATGTGCCGGGGAGGACACCACACAGCTCACTCACGAGCTTTCCTAAAGCCGGCTTCCTGCCCCCCAGCCTGACACCCCCGCCCCCTCAGGGGCAGCCCTGACGCCTGGTCACCACGAGCCGAGGACGCTCACCGATGGCTCTCTCGATTTTGCCCAGGACCTGGTTGTTAGGAATGGCCCGTCCGCTCTCGTAGTCCGCGATGACCTGTGGCTTTTCGTTGATTTTCTAAAGAGAAAATGTGTTTTGTACACGTCAGCTTGATAAGAAAACGCTGCAGAACCGGGACACGCGTGGATGGGCCGGGGCACCACCTGCGACAGCAAGGGGCCGAGAGCCTTGGTGGAGCAGCTCCCAGATGCCCGGGGTCACCTGCGAGAGTTCCCCGGGGCCTCACGTGGCTCCCCCAGAGGCCTGCGGGGGCCAGGGCCAGCTCCTCAGGGGGCCAGCGCAGCCTCCTACGTCCCCAGACGGGCAGAGCCCCACCGACCACAGCCTGGAGGGGCCGCCACTCACGGTCGCCAGGTCCTTCTGCGTCAGCCCCTTGCTCTGCCGGCCCTGCTGGATGACCTTGCCCACCTCCAGGGTCACCCGGTCGTGGTGCAGCTCCTCCGTCTCCCGGTCCAGCTTGGCCGTGTTCTTGGTGATCGAGTGCTGCTTGTTCTGACCAGCAGCCCCTGAATGGTGGGAACCGAGAGAGAGAGAGAGAGAGAGAGAGAGAGAGAGAGAGAGAGAGCGCGCGCGCGAGGTGTGTGTGTGTGTTGCACCAACACGAGGGAAAGGCGTTTCAGGACACGAACCAGGCATGATGGCGGGCGCCCAGGTGACATGGGAAGCCAGGCCGTCCCATCATGGCAACTGCACAGGCGCCAGAGCAGATTCCAGAACCTCCTCCCCGCGGTGGGAGTGGACAGCACAGCCTCCTGACCTCTGCCCCCCACAGCTGCTGGGGTGAGGCTTCGGCTGCCAGCGGGCATCCTGACCCCCGGGGCACTGAGCCCATCTGCAGAGATGGCCCGCCACCACACCCCCCTGAGAGCGGACGCATCGGCACCTACATTTCTTGGAAGTCTCCACATCTTCTCCTCGTCTCTGGGCTGCCAAGATGGCCTAGAAAGTCAGGGAATGTTTTTTGGTCAAAATTTAACTGTGGAGCCCTGGCCGGGCAGTTCGGTTGGTTACAGGGTTGTCCTGATGCTCGAAGGTTGTGGGTTCGATCCCCAGTCAGAGCACATACAGGAGCCAACCAATGAAGGCGCAGGTGGGCGGACCCAATCCATGTTTCTCTCTCCCTCTCTAAAATCAATTTTTAAAATGTTAGCTTTCACCCCGGCTGGTTTGCTCAGTTACGGCGTCGGCCCATGAGCTGAGGGTTGTGGGTTCGAGTCTAGCCAAGAGCACGATTGGTGGCGGGCTCGGTCCCTGGCCCCAGCGAGGGAGGCGGCCAGCCGACGTGTCTCCTCCCTCCGGGTCCCTCTCTCTAACCGTCAACGGGAGAAACGCCTGCAGGGCGACGGCCGAACTGCGAGGCCATAGTTTCCTTTGGGGGAAAAAACCGCATTTGGAGACTGGCAGCCAGCGGGGCGGCCAGTGAGTCCGGCCCCGGCCCGGGGACAGCGGGCCAGGCGGGGCGGGGACGGGCTGCCTCCAGCGGCCTCAGGGCTCCTGCGCGCGGCGGCCCGGGAGGCGGGGGGTTTTGGGGTGACGGGGGGGGGGCGGGAGGCCGGTCACTGGCGCCGAGCCCCGCACACCCCTCCCCACCCCGGGTGCGGGTGCCGGCGGGGGACACCGGCAGCATCGGACCGAGAGGACTGGGGAGGCTCCAATCGCGCCCCCTCGCCTCGCCCCCCGTCCCCCCCCAAGGCCCCCCGTCCCGGCCCTGCCCTCGGTCCTCCCGCCGCCGCATCCTCGCCATCCCGTCCACACCAGAGTCCGAGGCCTCCGGACCTTGCCCGGCGTCCACCCCAGGCCCGGACCGCTGGCCCCGACACCCCAGCCTCACGCGCCCGTCCCGACCCGCCGTCCGCCTCATCCCGCTCCTCCACCCCCACCCCCCCACCTCCTTGTCCCCCCAGTCCCGGCCGCCACCCCCCCGCCCCGGCCCCCCCACCTCCCTGTCCCCCCCGCCCCTGCCCCCCCCGCTGTCGCGGACCGTCCTCCAGCCCTGCCGCTGCCTCCGTCCTCACCCGGCGAACCAGGTCCGCCCGGACCGTCCCCGACGGGCCATCTCCCCGGCCCGGCCCCCGCCCCCCCCAGCGCCTGACCGCGGCCCCCGACCCCCGTCAGCCCCGCGTCGGCCGCCCGGTCCGCCGGCCGCTCGGGCCGGAGCCGCACCTGCTTGGACTTGGCCTGCGCGGCCGTGGGGCCCTTCTTGCGCAGCACCGTCACCGTGTCCCAGTCGCTCTCGGCCATGGCGGCTCCGGTCCTGACGGCGGCTCGGCGGCAGCTGCTCGAGACCCAGCGGCGCGACGTCGCCTCTTCGCTAGGCCGCTTCCGGCGCCGTCCGCGGCCCCGCCCCCGCCTCCCATTGGCCGGAATCCCGGGGGGCGGGAACTTCCGGAGGCCCGGGACCAATCTGAGCCCGACTCATCTGAGGACTGCGGGGCGGGGCGCGACGGGGGGGGGTGGTGGTGACGTCAGGGCGCGGGGGGGCCGGAGTGAGCACGAGGGGGGCGCGGAGGGGGCGCGGAGGGGGGGTGCAGAGGGGGCGCGAGGGGGCGGGGAGGGGGGGTGGTGCAGAGGGGGCGGAAGGGGCGGGGAGGGGGCGCGGATGGGGGTGCAGAGGGGGCGGGGAGGGGGCGGAGTGGGGGCGGGGAGGGGCGGGAGGGGGTGCAGAGGGGGCGGGAGTGACCGCAGGGGGCGCGGAGGGGACGGAGGGGGTGCAGAGGGGGCGGAGGGGGGTGCAGAGGGGGCGGGGAGGGGGTGCAGAGGGGGCGGGGAGGGGGTGCAGAGGGGGCGGGAGTGACCGCAGGGGGCGCGGAGGGGACGGAGGGGGTGCAGAGGGGGCGCGGAGGGGCGGGAGGAGGAACGAGGATCCGGGTGCTGTGCGCCAGGCCGGGGTCCTGAGAAGGGGGAGTTTGGAGAGGAGGGGCGCGGGTGGGGGGAAGGGAGCCGGCCCGGGAGGAAGAGGGTGGGGGGCTGTGCGCAGGGAGAGACGGGGGTGCCTGGGAAGGAGGGTGATGAGCGGAGGGAGGTCTCGGCCTCTGGGCCAACGAGGGGGGCTGGCCGCTCCCGGGTGGCACCTTTGGGGATGGGCATGGCTCAGCCCAGCCCGGCCTGGCCCGGTGCCGGAAGGGGTTCGGGAAGGGGTTCGGGTGCGCGCCCACAGACCACAGACGGGCCAGGGAGTGTCCGCGCGCCCGTCCCTCCTGCTGTGGGGCTGGCCAGGCTGCAGGCAGGTGTGTTCCTGGGCTCGTGCTCACGGGACGCGGAGACCAATGTGGGGTAGGACTCTCTTTAAGATAAAAAACCAAACTTAGAAAAGGAGACATTTTTATATATTTTGTATAATGTAGATTCCTTTACAACAATTCTGTAATATCTCACAGTTATGTTTTTTTTAAAATATATTTTATTAACTTTTTACAGAGAAGAATGGAGAGGGATAGAGAGTTAGAAACATGGATGAGAGAGAAACATCGATCAGCTGCCTCCTGCACACCCCCTACTAGGGATGTGCCCGCAACCCAGGTACATGCCCTTGGCCGGAATCGAACTGGGACCCTTGAGTCCACAGGCCGACGCTCTATCCACTGAGCCACACCGGTTCGGCCAGTTATGTTTTTGTTTTTTTTTAATTTTTATTTTCATTTATTTCAGAGAGGGAGAGAAAGGGATAGAAACATCAATGAGAGGGAATCATTGACCAGCTGCCTCCTGCACGCCCCACCCTGGGGACCGAGCCCCAGGCATGTGCCCTTGACTGGAATCGAACCCGGGACCCTTCAGTCCACAGGCCAACACTGTATCCAGTGAGTCAAACCGGCTAGGGCTATTTTACCATAGTTTTGTATAAGAGGGGGCGGAGGGGGGCGGGGAGGGGGGCGGAGTTAAAAAACTGACAAGTGCCACAAATATCACACAATTTAGAAAAATAACGTTTGTATGGATTAACAAATGCATGTCTGGTGCATTTGTTTACATTTTTGGCTGTGTTCTCTGAATGCGCACATCATGACTTTGCAGAGTGTGTTATGGAAAGAACCGACGGGCGATTCCGATTTCTCTAGCGCGTCTGATCAAATCGGTATCTGACTGTTAGTGTTGACCCTGGTTTGGGTAATCCTCGGGGCTTTGCACGAAGTGCTCACGATAGCATTCCTACAGGTAGGTGTTTGCTGCACAAATACAGGCGTTCTGATAAGGGCAACCCCACCCAAAAGGAAAAGCAACATGAGTATTAAATCATAATCCTGCATTACGGGCTGCTTTCGTCAGAGACGGATTTCCTTCTGCCCAGGGGTTGGGGAGACCTGAGTCCACTCACAATTTTGCACGTTGCATGATGGGAAGAATTTGGACAGACTCACTTCTGGTTCCTCCTACAGACCTTGTTTCTTCTCCACTCGCGAACACGTCCAGTGCTGGGCACTGTGGGGGGGGGGGGGGGGACAGTTGGCAGCCATCGTAGACATACCTACCCCAGCGCAGGCCAGCAAGATTGTGAGCCACAAAAAAATGATCTCAAGTTCCCCTGAGTGAAAGTTATTGTGCTAGAAAAAAAATGGGTTTATTCAAGTACAGCAAAGAGCCCGCCCGACCTATGATGAACCAGGTCTGATTCCGGGTCAGGGCACGTGCCTGGGTGGTGGGCTGGAACCCCAGAGTGGAGCAGGCAGGAGGCAGTGGATCCATCATTCTCTCTCATCATTGATGTTTCTATCCCTCTCTCCTCTCCCTTCCTCTCTGAAATCAATTAAAAAAAAAAAAAAGAACAAAAGAATCACAATTCAGGACGTTAGTCTAGGGCAGTGGTCGGCAAACTCATTAGTTAACAGAGCCAAATATCAACAGTACGAAGATTGAAATTTCTTTTGAGAGCCAAATTTTTTTTTTTTAAATATATTTTATTGATTTTTTTTTTTTTTTTTTTTTTTTTACAGAGAGGAAGGGAGAGAGATAGAGAGTCAGAAACATCAATGAGAGAGAAACATCGATCACCTGCCTCCTGCACACCTCCCACTGGGGATGTGCCCACAACCAAGGTACATGCCCCTGACCGGAATCGAACCCGGGACCCCTCAGTCCGCAGGCCAACGCTCTATCCACTGAGCCAAACCGGTTAGGGCGAGAGCCAAATTTTTTAAACTTAAACTATACAGGTAGGTACATTGTGATTAACTTCATTAGGGTACTGCGAAGGCTTAGGAAGAGCCACACTCAAGGGGCCAAAGAGCCGCATGTGGCTCGTGAGCCGCAGTTTGCCGACCGCTGGCCTAGGGCAAACCAGCAGGTCCCAAGAACAAAGGAGAGGAGACTGCATTTATAGAGGAAAGAGGGTAGTTGGGAGGGGCTGTTGCCAACAAGGAGTCCATTGGCGGAAACTTGGAGTTCAAAATGCAGTGGCGTTTCATCTCTGCGTTGTGACAGCCTCTCATTGGCTGAGCTGTTGCCAGGCGGGGAGAAAGTCTTCCTCCCACTGGGGTAGGGACTTAAGAAAACATCCGTTGGAGATGTAGGTGTCTCTACCTGTTGGGGTGATGGGTGCCAAGTGGTAGGGTGGAAGAACTCCCCCGACAGACCCTCCCAAACTTCATTTGCGGTCCTATTTATTTCCACACGGCGTCCCGGGGGCCAAGGAGAGAGGAACAGAGGAGTCTGCCCAGGAGAGGCAGTGCCCTCACCTGACTGCAGTTAAGATATTCTCAGCAGCCCTGGCCGGTGTGGCTCAGTGGACAGAGCGTCGGCCTGCAGACTGAAGGGTCCCAGGTTCGATTCCGGTCAAGGGCACGTACCTTGGTTGCGGGCACATCCCCAGTAGGAGCTGTGCAGGAGGCAGCTGATCGATGTTTCTCTCTCATCGATGTGTCTAACTCTCTATCCCTCTCCTTTCCTCTCTGTAAAAAAAAAAAAATCAATAAAATATATTAAAAAATATATTCTCAGCCAATGTAACCAACACTTAGCCAGGTGAGCCCACTGCCAGGCTCTCTCCCAGGGCATGGCTGGCACGCCAGCATGAGAAGTTGCATGGGCTGTGTGGTGTCAGGTCTGCCCAGGTGGGGTCCGGCCTGGAGATGGGGAGTATGGTCCAGGTGCCCTCAGACCCTGTGGGTGTCTGCCAGGATAGCCACCGTCCCCCCTGGCTTTTGGTCAGGAGTCAGGTATGGGCCTGGCCTGCGGAAGCAAGGACCGTGGGCAGGAGGCCGGACAGGTCAGAGGCCCCAGCTGGGCAGCGGAGTGTCGGCCGCACCATTGCGGCGGGCGGCAGTGGTGGGCCAGGGAGTGTCCGCGGAGGCCGACGTTGGCCAGGTGACCTCTCTTGCTGAGCTGAGTGTGAGCGGAGCCTCTCAAGGTTTGCAGATTCAGAGCGAGGAGGTCGGAGCGAGGTGCGGGCAGCGAGCAGGTGCGGGTGCCTGCGCCGGGGCTCGCCGGCAGCTCCAGCCTTAGCCGGCAGGTGGCGCGCGCGGGCCCGCCGCGGTGCCGGGGAGGAGGAGTCGGGCCACTGGTTCTCCATCCAATGAGAACGGGCCCAGAATGAGGCCCCAGAGGCCGCTGCCCTCAGGGACCCACATCGGGAAGGACACAGGCACACAAGCCGATTCTAGTCACCTGGGGCGAGTGGGGGGACCCCCTCAACAACAGGCCACCGGAGCAAGACTATCTTTCTCCCCAGACGCTAAGGCCTGCCAGGCACCTGGGGCGGGCGGCGGGGGGGGGGGGGGGGCTGGTCCAGGTGAGCGCCTGGCCGGTGCAAAGGCCAGGCCCCACGCAGCAGAGGTGGGGACAGCCTGGGCAGCTTCAGTTCTGCGTGGGAGGCTGTTGCCGGCCTTTGGCTCCGGGTGTGGGATGGCATTTGTGCTCTGACGTGGCCTGAGGGGAGGTGGGTGTTCACTGGTTGGGAATCCTGGCCGCGCTTGTCTGTGGGCGAGGGCATGTGGGGCCTCTTTGCTTTCCTCTGGGCACTGTGGCGTTTTCCAGAGCCTCCCGAGTGCCCTCTGTGCTGCACAGACGGGGTTTGAACCGGTGATGGCATCAGTGGTTCCCAGAAGCGTGGGGTGGTGAATGGGGAACAGGCCCCACTTCTGTTACTGCGTGTCCTTCTCAGTCCACAGGGGGTGCAGATGGACGGAGCTGTCCTTCCCAGCTCTGTGCGCCCTTGCTCTCCTGCTGGGCTCCCAGCCAGTGGCCGGCCCGGGCAGACCCTCCCCGCTGGGCCTCTCGCCCTCCCTGCAGTTCTGGGCGACCTCCTGGTCCCAGAGCACGGGTGCTGGTGGAGTGGCTTGGCCCCCCCGTGTCTTCTCCTTCCCTCAGGGGACGTCTCAGGGAGGGTGGCCTGGCTGTGCACTTTGGGGGGAGGCGGGAGGGGGAGCCCCTGCTGGCTGGCCCGGGTGCAGGGGAATTCTGGGGCAGAGCTGGCGGGCCGGCCCTCCTGGAAGCGTGCCTCTCAGATGACGGCTGAGTGAGAGTGAAACAGGCTTCTTTCAGAAGCTGCTGCCTGGGGTTGACCTTAAAATGTCTGAAAAATGAGCAGACGGGGGGCGGGGGGGAGCAGAGAAGCGGGTTGTATTTGGTGAGGGGGCCCCGCCTTGGGAGGCTCTGGGGACAGCCGGAGGGGCACATGCAGGGTGTCCCATGTCCAGGTCCTGAGTGGGGACCCAGATCACCCTTCCTGTTTCCTGTGCAAGCTGGTGTCTGTCCTCCAAAGGCCTGAGTGAGTAATGGATGTGAGGTGAGCACCTTAGGAGCCATCCCTGTCAGGGCACAGATGCCAAGGTGAGAAAGGAAAACAAAGGAGGCAGGGTGGGCTCCAGAGGCAGGAGGGGGGCGGGCTGCTTGCCTCCAGGCAGAGTAGGTGGCAGTGGCAGCCCCCCTCCCACCTTGGTCTGCTCACCGTGGGCAGGGGAGGCCCCAGCAGCCGTGTCCACACGGCCTTGACCCTGATCTGCAGCCAGGCCATGCCTTCCTCTGGGGGGGGGCACTGAGGCCAGGACGGCTGCTCTAGGCCCGAACCGGCCCTGCCACTTGCTGAGCTGAGACCCCGGCCTTGGCCCCCTCCCAGGGCTGCACGGGGCTGTCCCAGGGCCTCCTGACTCCTCCCTGCTGTGGCTGCGGGCTGAGTTTCGCTTTCTTTTTGGCAGGAAGGAACCCGACTGGGAATCCCCTGAGCTGCCCGAGGACCAGAGTGAGTCACCCCTTTCCAGCTTGCCAGGTTGGGGGTGTCACCCCCTTCAGAGCTGGCAGGCGGGGGTGGGGCGGCACTTCCTGGTCAGGGCCCTGCCACCCACGCTCCCTCTCCCTCGGTTCTCAACTCCGCTCACCTGGCAGGCCTGTTATCAGAGTCAAACTAAAACACATATATGCGTGCGTGTGCGTGAAGACCCTGCGAAAGCAGAAATGTTTCCGATAAGCAAAAGCGTTTTCCCGCCAGAAGCACCGGCAAGTCCTCCGGGGTCGTTTCTGTGACGTCCGCAGGCAGTGGCTGCCTTCCTGGGAGCCGAGACCTGGCTCAGGAGAAATCTCTGGACGTGGGCAGGACCAGGTGGCTCCAGTCAGCCCTTCTGCCTGACCCCCGCTCTGGAGGCGTGACCCTCCGGGATCACTGCAGAGGCAGGCGGGCAGTTTCCGGATTGTGCAGCGGAACCTCTTGTTTGCAACAAGAACCATTTCCTGCAGGGAGCTCACAGTGGAGGGTTCACAAAGGGGAAGCGTTCCTACACCTGAGAGCTCGCCTGGCCACGAGCTGTCCGTGGGAGGTTTCCTCGGCTGCTGGTGGCCAGCTCGGCCTGGGGTTCATGGAGCGTGCAGCAGAGGCAGGGCGGCCGGGCTGCTATCTCTCAGGGAAATTCCGACTTGGAAACCCAGTCTTGACTGACGCAGCGTGATGCAAGCACTTCCCACGCCATGTGGACTGGTCACATGACGCAGCTTCAGAGCCTGCCTGCTCTTCCGGTTCTTGCTCCGGATGAGTCCCCTGGAGGGGAGGTGCTGGGTGTGCTGTGTGACCGGGGAGAAGAATCTTACCTCTGAGTCTCCATGTTCTCTTCCGCACAATGAAGAATGCAGTTCCCTTCGGACGCTGGTTGCCAGGCACTGAGCAATGCCCGCGCTCAGTGGGAGACCCTCCACTGGGTCTTGGCAGGAGAAGCATGCTGGCCTCGGGTCAGCACTCCCAGCGCTGCTCCTTTCTTTCTGGCCAAGACCCCTGCCTTGTTTCCAGATGTTTCCATTGCGTGTTCCACATTTCCGTGTGTCTGGAGGCCATAGTTTGTGCATTTTTGGTTTTGTTGGTGGTAAAATTCATGTAAAATTCGCCATTAAGCCATACATTTCAGTGTTATTTGTACATGTGTAAGGTCGGGCATCCATCACCACTATTTACCCGAACACTAACCTACCCGAGAGGAGACCTCGTCGCCTTCAGACCCTTTAAGGGAGCGGAGACTTTTCGTGTTTTCTTACAAACGTAACTCACGCAGGGCCTGCGCTGAGCCGGGCGTCGGCCTGAGCCTGAGCCTGAGCCTTCATGGACACCGCCAGGTTCTCGGGAGGTGAGAGCAGCGAAGGCCTTGCTGCGGGCGTCCTGTCCTGCCGTCCTCCTGCCCTCCCGCCCTCCCGGGGCGCACGGAACTCCGTGGACACAGAGCTGCGAGGGCGCCCGGCAGGCTCTGCTCGGAGCAACCCCGGAGGGAATGAATGAAGTAACGTCACGGCAGCGCCAACCAATCGACGCCCGCTGCGGCTCCCTCCGTGCTCCTGGTAGGCTCTTGTGTCTGTCCGTCAGAAAAGCGGGCACGAAGAAGGGCGGGGGGGAAATCTGACCAATTAGAGCCCGCTGCGGCTCCCTGCGCGTTCCTGATAGGTTCTTATGTCAGTTCGTCAGGTCGGAGGCGGGCGGGTCCGCGGCAGCGGCGGCGGCGGCGGCGGCGGCAGCAGGGCGGGCGGGCGTGCAGTTCCGGGCGCGCGGCGACCGTTGGTGAGTCGAACGGCGGGGATCGACGTCGGGGGTCGCGGTCTGGGCGGGGGCGCGGCGCCGGGAGGCAGGACGGGGAGGCAGGCTCGCCGCCGCCCGCGGGCCTGAGGGGATTTCTCGGGGCGGGGGAACCGGAAACTGAAAGTCAGAGCGGGGCCGGCGCAGGAAAGTTCGCGAACGCCCGCGGGCGCCTGGCCGGGGGTCCACGGCGCGGGGTGACGACCCGGGGTCACGGCCTGCGGTCCACCACGCGGGGTCACGGCTCGGGGTCACGGCTCGGGGTCACGGCGCGGGGTCCACGGTGCGAGGATCACGGCGCGGGGTCACGGCATCCCTCTTCCCCGGCGTCGCTGCGGCCTGTGGCGTCTCGCCCCTTCCGTCCCGACCCCAGGGAGACTCACCTGCCCCCGCCGGGCCGCCGCTTCCTGCCCGCAGACGGGCCTTCCCACCTGTTGGGGTTTGGACCTGCAGCTGCCGAACCGGGCAGCGCTGAGCGCTCGCACCTGCGGGGCCGCCTTCTCCCTCCGCTGCCCCCGCAGCCTGTCCCGAGGCCCCCGGGCCCCGCCCGCCCGCGCCTCCCCTGCGGTCCGCTCAGCCTCCCCTTGGCGGGGTGTCCCCAGGAGCCTCTTGGTCAGCCTGCAGCCCCGCCCCCGCGGCCTGAGCGGAGGCCGACCCAGGGCCTGGGGCGTCCCTCTCGGACCTCGGGGTCTCTCTCGGGCCTGGGGAGCCTGGCGGGTCCGCTGATGAAAGCGGCCGAGGGGTGGTGAGGCCTGGGGGCGGCTGGGAATGGAGGCAGCTGCCCGGGCTGGGGCCTGGGGGGTCGTCATGGACGCGGGGAGACGGCAGGACAGCTGCTGCAGAGCCGGGAGTGGGCGCCCTGACCCCGCCAGCGAGGCCCGGGCCCTGGTCAGTTACGGTGCTCGGGGAGGTCCCCGCCAGCCCTGAGCTGCCGCCCCAGTTTTTCTTTTTTAAGAAAACGGCGTTATTGCCGTGTAACGTACACGCCGCAGAAGTTCCTGTGGCTTGAATTTCAAACGAACACGATTCTAAGAAGTGCTTTTCTTAAAGCCTTGTCCTGGCCTGGCCGGTGTGGCTCAATGGTTGCGCCCCGACCTTCCACCCAGAGGTCAGGGCACATGTCCAGCTGCAGACTCGCTCCCCAGTGGAGGCGGCGGCCGCTGGTGTGTCCCTCCCCCCTCCCGCCCCAGCCCCTCACCCCGCTCAGCCCTGAGGCTGCCGCTCCCAGGCCCTCGCTGTGACATCTCTGCTCTGTGCCCAGCCCTGTGCCCAGCGGGAGCCTCTGACACACCCACTGCGCGTCCAGAGCTGCTGGGAAAGGCTGAGTGACCGCCGCACGGGAGCTGCCATGCAGGGGCAGGGGTGGGGGCTCCCCGTCCTCCCCGCACGGAGACATGCCCCCCCCCCCAAGCTCTCCTACCCGTCCTGGGGGCTTGTGGAGGCCCCATCATGAGCGTGATTGGTCACCTCCTTGGCCGTTGGGGATTCGGGGCATCTGCAGCCTGCTCCCCGGGGGGCGTGGCCGGCTGGTGGAAGGGCTGTGACTGACAGATGCTCCTCTGGCCCCTCACACAGGCAGCCCCAGGGCTTGGGGAGCTCTGTGGCAGGACCTGGGAAGAGGAACAAACACCCCAAAGTACTGCGTCCCTGTGCCCCTCTCCACAGGGTGGCATTGCCCGACCCTGACGCCAGGGAACCCAGTTCCTCCATGAGCACTGCTTTGTATCGGGCAGAAATGCCCGTTCGCAGAGGGCGAGGCTGTGGTGGGAGGAGCGCGCCCGCGTCTGGAGCGTGTTTTGGGGAAGCGTGGGTGTCCTGCAGGAGTGCCCTGAGGCCTAGTTCCCATGAGGGGGGCAGGTCACCCGGGACCCCCACGGCGCCCGGCCGGTACTCCTGGCGCATCAGTACTTGGGGTTTAGATCCTCCGCTGAAAGGTTTCTTCTTGAGGGCCGCCTCCGGGTCCGAGGGCCCCTGCCCAAAGCCTGCTGAAAGGAGAGGGGCTGTGGCAACTGGCAGGGGCAGAGTAGCAGCACCGGCTGGTGTGGGAGAGGCAGCTGGGCAGTGTGGCCACCTCTGGGCCCTGCAGGCTGGTGCACAACCTGCTGTAGAGGCCGTCCATGCCGCGTCGGAGTTCGTGTGGGACCCTCAGGAGGCCGGGCACCGCCGGGCACTCGCGTTGGCGGGAAGGGGAGGACAGCCCACTGGCCAAGGCGCCGCGGGTGGGCGTGCGGACGCCAACCACGTGGCGTGGGCAGGTCGCCACACCTGCTAAGCCTTGGTTTCCAAGTTTGTGGTGGCAGATGGGACCCTGTCAAAGTCATGCTGCTACCAGTCGGCTTGACCAGTTAGAGTCCTGCCCACCAGTCTGCACTTCCCGGAGGATGACTGTGGAGCCGGCCGCCTCTCGACTGCCTCGACGCCTCTGTTCTTCCTCAGGGCTTGGCGTTCTCGGGGGACGCGACTTCCATGGCTGCAGCCAGCGTGACCCCTCCCGGCTCCCTAGACGTGCTGCAGCCTGGCTTCTCCACGACCCTCCTGGGGACCAAGCTGGAGGACAAGTACCTGTGCTCCGCCTGTAAGAACGTCCTGCGCAGGCCCTTCCAGGCACAGTGTGGCCACCGCTACTGCTCCTTCTGCCTGAGCAGCATCCTCAGGTCTGGGCGGGGCGGGCGGAGGGGGCAGGGGTGGTGGCTGCAGGGCTGGCCGGCCAGGGAGGCTCGGGCAGGCTGTGCTGCAGGTAACCCTCGTTGAGGGCACAGGTTCACTGCAGATGAGGGTGGAGCTGAGACCCTGCAGGGCTGGGTGGAGCTGAGCATAGGCACCCTGTGAGGGATGGAGGTCAGCGTGCGTCAGTGCGGGTGGTTGCGGGCATCCTGTGGCCGACGTGCGCACAGACATCTCCAGTGCAGCGCTGGCTGGCGGTGGGTGTGTCGCGCCTGCTGGGCGAGTCGCGAGGCAGGGCGCTGTGGCACGGGGCGGGCGGGCCACACCTGCTCCAGGGTCTGCCTCTGAGCGGGCGCGCCTCGTTCCCCTTGTGGGTGACCGTCACAGGAGCGATCTTCTCTCCGTTCTGAACGTTTGAACATCACCGCAGTGTGCTTGTCGCTGACGGGGGCGGTGCTGCCGTGCTAAGTGGCGTGGGCCGCCGCCTGTCCTGGGCAGCAGGTCTCATGCAGCACCCTCTCCCCAGCTCCGGGCCCCAGAACTGCGCTGCCTGTGTGCACGAGGGCATATACGAAGAAGGCGTTTCGGTTTTGGAGAGCAGCTCGGTAAGGGGTCCTGAGGCTGAACACCCAAATGAACAGAAAACACGTTGCGTTTCCTTTCGTAGCACCCGCAGTGGATGCCCCTCAGCAGTTGGAGGTGCCCGCTTGGCTCCTGCGTGGACCGGCTGCGGGCAGGACCTGGGTTCGGGGGGCCGGCTGCAGGCTGCTCACACAGGGTCGCTGTCTCCCCAGGTTTTCCCCGACAATGCTGCCCGCAGGGAGGTGGAGAGCCTGCCAGCCATCTGCCCCAGCGATGGCTGCACCTGGAAGGGGACCCTCAAAGAGTACGAGGTAGGCCTGCCTGCCCACACGCCGTGGTGCCAGGTGGGCCTGCGTGACGCTACCGCGTGGATCTGTCGGACGTCTGTGAAAGAGGCAGCTGGCACTTCTAATGTGCCCGCTTAGATACCCAGTCGCACAGAACCTAGACCCTTCCATGGAGCCCCGGCGGGTGGCCTCAGTTTCCTGATCTGTGGAATGGGTGCAGCCCCCACTCCGGGGTGTCGGGGGCATGTGCTGCCCGAAAGCCGCTGCAGCGTGTGCCGAGTGTGCAGGAGCCAGCCCTCGGTGGTGGGACTGCTCTGCTGCGTCTTCAGACCAACGCTTTCTTACTCCGAGTTGTGTCGATGTTGGAAACTGCAGAGTCCCCTGCGCGTTTGTCCTGGGTCACAGGTGCATCTCCCCCAGGGCCTGCCTGCCAGGCCAGGTGCCTTGTGTCTTGTGTCCGCGTGTTGGGGGTTCAGTGTGATGGGCGTGGAGGCCGAGCAGTGCCCAGGTCGTCCAGGTGCCTGGTCACTGCTCTTTGTTGTTGTTGTTCGTCCTCACCTGAGGATATTTTTCCTTTTTTTTAGAGAGCATGGAAGGGCGGGGGGAGAGGGAGAGAGAGAAACATTGATGAGAGAGAAATACATTGATTGGTTGCCTCCCACACAAGCCCTGCCTGGGGCCAGGGATGAACCTGCAACCCAGGTTCGTGCCCTGGATCAGGAATTGAACCTGCGACCCTCAGGCTGACACTAACCACTGAGCTGCTGGCCAGGGCCTGGTCCCCTCTCTTTTTTTTTTCTTTTTTTTTAAATGTATTTTATTGATTTTTTTACAGAGAGGAAGGGAGAGGGATAGAGAGTTAGAAACATCGATCAGCTGCCTCCTGCACACTCCCTGCTGGGGTTGTGCCCGCAACCAAGGTACATGCCCTTGACCGGAATCGAACCTGGGACCCTTGAGTCTGCAGTCTGACGCTCTATCCACTGAGCCAAACCGGTTAGGGCAATTCCTGGTCCCCTCTCTTGATGAATGCCCTTTACAGCGACATTGCAGAGGGTTACTTGTAACAAGGGTCACGGTGGCCCAGTGTCCACCAGCTGAGGTGGCCTGTCCACACCATGGGACACTATTCAGCCGTATAAAAGGCAGGCGCCCTGTCCAGGGTGGGGGACCTGGAGGACATTGGCTCAGCGAGACGAGCGGACACAGAGGCAGAGCCTAGAGGGCCCCCGGGCGTGAGGCCTGCAGGAGGCTGGCTCAGGAGGTGCAGTGGCCGCCAGGGGTTGGGGCGGGTTTGGTCAGAGTGGACAGGCCTTGGTGCCACCGGGCAGCCCCCTTTGGCGAGGCTGGGCTATTTGTGTGGAGCCCAGGTCTCCAGGTTAGGTGAGCCCCTGTCAGGGCTGCCCAGGCCACAGGCTGGGACTGAGCCACCTCGGTGTGGATGGGGCGGGGCGGCGGCCGTCGGGGCTGCGTGGGGAGCCTGGTTCCTGGGGGGCTCTCCCCTCTGCCTCCGGCGCGTGCGGCAGTGCGGTCCTCTATGGACCATTGACATGGTCTTCGGGCTCCGCTGTGTTCTGCCAGAGGAGCTCACCCCCTGTGCCTTCTGGGAGTGAGAGATGTCTGCCTGTGGACGGAGTTCGGCTGCCCAGAGGCCACTGGTGCCTCTGCACAGACGGGTGATGCTGCGCCGACCCTCGGCTGTCACTGCCGGGCCTCCAGGCCTCGGGGTCAGGGTCTCTCCCGGGAGGCAGGAGCTCGGGTGCTGTGCTGTCTCTTGAGAGACTGGGGATCCCTGGGGACAGGCGGGCTACCCCCACCGCTGAGGCCTCTGGGGTTTCTGCCGCCTCCAGGCCCGTGGTGTGGGCGACGGCGTCCTGGGCTCTGGCAGGGCAGCCAGTCCTGGGCTTCTGCCACGGCCGCAGGCGTGCGCTGGGAAGTCCCTGGCTGCCCCCGGCTCCGGAAAGTCCCTGAGTGCTGGGCCCGGTCATGTGGGAGGCGGTGCTGCCCGGGGACTCTCACTGGCCGTGGCCTTGATGTCGCACTGCTGACCGGCACGGCGGCCTCAGGCTGCTGCCCAGGGGGTGGCGCTGTGAGATGCTCGCGCGCATCAGATGAGCTTGTGGAAAGGGGGGAGCCTGTGTGGCCTTAGAACACTTCCCTCTGCGATGACGTCTCGCATTTCCTGAGAGCTCAGCGAGGTGTGGGTGCGGCCTGCTGGGTGCTCTGGAGCAAGGGGCCCCGAGAGGACACGCTGGGGACGGCCGCCAAAGGGAGGAGAGCCGGCCGGGCGCTCCACCTCTGCCATTAGCCTGGACGTCGACTGGGGTTCCTCTGCCGTGTGCTGCTCTGGAGGTCTCCACGGGAGCTGATGGAGCCCATTGCCCGTGCAGCGGTGGCGGGGTCCCTGCTGCAGCCACGGCCCCGGGGGCGGTGGCAGGTGCAGCCCACGGTGGCCTGGGTGCCTCGTCCCGTGTGCAGGGCGCGCCCCCCCAGGAGTTTGTTTCTCTTTCTGTTTTTAATGTTTTTATTCATTCTGGAGAGGCAGGGAGAGGGAAAGAGAGAAGCATCGATGATGAGAGAGAATCACTGATGGGCCGCCTCCTGCACGCCCCCCACTGCGTCCTGCCTGGGAATGGAACCGTGGCCTCCTGGCTCATGGGCGCGCCGGCCGGGCCCCAGGAGTCACCTGCTGAGAGCACAGGTGCCCTGGCCGTGCTGCTGCGCGAGGTCTTTGCGGAGGCCCCTCGGGTTCAGTTCCCAGCGGGGCCTGGGCGGGGCCCTGCCTCCAGTGCTGGCGGGGCAGGCGGTCCACAGCCCAGAGGCCCCGAGCAGGGGGTGGGCGGTTCTGCTGGGGCCGGGCCCCTCCTCCCTGTGGCCAGCGAGGCTTCGGGTCCTTGGCAGACCCCCTTGGCTCCCAGCACACGTCCAGCCTCCCCCCCCCCCCCCCCCGGCCCATCAGGAGCTCGGTGTCTGTCCCCTGTTGGCTCCTTCGCAGCAGAGCAGCCGCCTGAGGTGGGGCTCACTTGGGTCCCCTCCGTTCCTGACTCCCCAGGTCTGAGCCCCACCCTCTCCTTCCCTGTCCTTCTCCCGCTGCTCTGGCTCCTCCTGGGTCGCCCCCAGCCTCTCCCCGCCTGTCACCCGGAGAGTCCCAGCCTGGGACCTGCCTCCCTCGGACATGCCTGGCGCCTTCCTGCCCGTCAGCTCCGGGAGGTGGGGCTGCGGCTCCCAGGGTCTCCTCGCTCTGCCCCCCGTGGCCCTTCTCACAGCCATTGGTTCTGGTCACTTGCTTGCCTTCTGTCCTGGCCGCCTGGCACCCAGCCGGCTTTGTCCCTGTGTCGCCGGCCGTAGCTGCCCCCTCTGGTGTCTCCCTCGCTGCCCGTGCGCCCCTCTCCCTGGCCAGGGCTCCCGGGGCCCCTGAACATCACTTGGAGCAGAGCCTCTGGGCCCTGTGGTCAGGGGCAGGGAGGGACGTTCTTGGCGTCATGGGGGGGGGGGGGGTGCCACCAGTGGGAATTGGTCCTGACCTCTGACCCCGAGCAAAGGTGTCAATTCTCGGCACCTGGGCGGTGGCCCTTGGGGGCGGGCACTGTAGGGTCGACTGGAGCGGGAGCCACAGCTGGGGTGGCATCGGCTGGCCGGGTGGGCCTGGCTGCCAGGGCCCTGCGTGCGCTCTCTGGACACTTTGCTCCCTCTGTTGCCAGAGCTGCCACGAAGGACTCTGCCCGTTCCTGCTGACCGAGTGCCCGGCGTGCAAAGGCCTGGTCCGCCTTGGCGAGAAGGAGCGCCACATGGAGCAGGAGTGCCCTGAGAGGAGCCTCAGCTGCCAGCACTGTCACGCTGCCTGCTGCTTGGCCGACGTGCAGGTGCTGCGTGCCGGCCCGCGGTGCCCACGGTGGGGCCTGGGCGGGGGGTGTTCGTGGGGAGCGTGCTGGGTGTGAAGGCAGAGCCGCCCGATGAGAGGAGGTGCTGATAGCGCTGAGACCCCGTGGTGCCCGCAGGCCCACAGTGTCCGTGCCATCTCGGTCGGGCCCTGGGGCACTGCAGGCCCCTAGAGCTGAGGACAGACACAGCACAGTGTGACCGGCGCAGGCCTGGCCCGGCACCAACAGCCTAGCGTCCCCCTAACGCTCCGCCCACTTCTCCCTCAGGCGCACCACGAGGTCTGCCCCAAGTTCCCTGTGACATGCGAGGGCTGCGGCCAGAAGGTCCCACGCGAGAAAGTAAGTTGAATCCCTGCCCCTGTGAGACAGGCAAGATGGCGTGAGCTTCAGCCACGAGGGCCCGTGCTGCGTGCTCTGGGGTTACCTGGTGCCCCAGGGAGAAGCGATGCCTATGGGGTCCCCTGTGGCCACTCTTCTGTTCAACGTTCAGGGATGGAGACAGTCAGGCCTGCGCACCAGCAGGGCCCTTCCTGAGGCTCAAGGGGGCGGGGAGGCCGCACCCCTCCTCTGCCCCCCGTCCCACGGCTCAGGCTCAGGGCAGGCGGCAGGCACCTGGCTGGGCTTTAAGAGAAAACTCACCAGGGGTTCGTCCTGGTCAGTGTCCGGCTGTTACCTCCCGCATTTGTAGTTCTTTCTGCTGCGGAAAGTCGTCCTGACATGCGGGCCCGGGCTGGGAGGCCGGAGGGTGGCACCGCGGGCGCTGCGCTGGGGGGCGTCGGCGGGTCTGGGCGGACAGGCTGCGGTCAGCATGCCACTCCGTCATTTGTTTCCTTTTGCGTGTGAGGCTGTCAGCTGGCTTCGCGCACAGATGGTCCTTAGCTGTTCTGTGAGATGATCACCTGGCTCCAAAGAGAACCAGGAGAAGGGGCTGTGAGAAGCCAGAGGGCACCCACGGTGTGTCCACTCAGACGCCTGCCCGGGGGCCGTGCCCTGGTGCCGGGTCAGAATGGGTCTGGGCGTTGGGGTTTGCATTCCCCCCCCCGTGCGCCCGCTGAGCACTGTGGCTTCGGTCCATTGGCGTTTCTCTGACCTTGGACGGAGGTCGCACAGCCCCTGTCCCTTCTGGGCGGGTTTCGGCCCGTCTCCTGTCTGGGAGTTGGAGGTCGGGGTGCGCTGTGCCTTTGCCCTTTCCCTCTGCCTCGCAGGGGTTTCTCCTGCTGCTGCTGGTGACGGTGTTGGGTGTGCTGCTCCCAGGCCCCTGTGGGGGGCTCCGGAGTGGCCCCTGAGGTGTCCCGAGGCTGCTCTGTGTGGGAGCGTCCGTCCGTCTGTCCTCCTGCACCAGCCCCACCCTGCGGGGTCTGGTGCCCCCCCTCCCCCCCGGCCTCGGACACTGCGTCCCCCAGGCTGTGGCGCCGGAGTGGGTCCCACGGCGTCCCGAGGACTGGCCCAGGCTGCACCCGCCTCAGTGGTGGCCACCATGCACGCATGTGTGTGTGTGTGTGTGCGCGCGCGCGCGCAACTGCGTCTGAGTGTGTGCCTGTGTGAGTGCGTCTGTGTGCGTGGGCGTCTGTGTGCGTGTGTGCCTGTGTGAGTGGGCGTCTGTGAGTGTGTGCCTGTGAGTGTGTGCCTGTGTGCGTGTGCGTCTGTGTGCGTGTGCGTCTGTGAGTGTGTGCCTGTGTGAGTGGGCGTCTGTGTGCGTGTGTGCCTGTGTGAGTGTGCGCCTGTGTTGGGTGTGCGCCTGTGTGTGGGCGTGCGTGTCTGTGTGCATCTTGGCTTTGGAAATGGGCTGTTGGGTTTGGGCAGACGACAGGGGGCGGGGGCAGAGACCCGCGTGCACGGGGCCCCAGCCACGAAGCCACGTCTGATGTCCCTCCTTGCAGTTTCAGAGCCACCTCAGGACGTGCGGCAAGTGCCCGCTGCCCTGCCGGTTCCACGACGTCGGCTGCCCTGAGATGGTGAGCAGGCTTCCTGGGCGTCGCCATCTCCCACACGTGGGACCTTCCTGATCCTGGTTTCCAGCGGCCCTGTGGGCTTCTGTTCACTTCCACCTGCCCCGCTGCCTGGCCTCCACGCCTGGCCCTCAGGTGCCCGGGCTCAGGCCCAGGCTGCTCTGCGGATCGCCACCTGCTGGGGGCCCCGCCTGACACCCAGGGGCATCCCAGGCTCCGCCACACTCCAGTCCGGCTCCTCACCCAAAGGAGCACCTTGGCTCGCCCAGCCCCGCTGGCCCACAGCCCAGGGTCTTCTGGACTCTTCTCCCTCGTCACGTCCAGAGAGCGTGAAGGTCCTCCATTCTTCCTGGGCACGAACGGGTCCCGGACCCCACCTGCCTCCCGCCTCCCTCCCTCACCCCCTCACCTCTGCGGCCCACACGGCTCTTCCTGTGTGACCTCGTCTCTGCCGTGGTCACTGGCCTGGCCACCCTCCAGCACACTGACCTCCCACCCCAGGGCCCGCCTGCCTCCCCCCTGCACATGGCACACTGCCGGTCTCTGCAGCTCACAGGCCCCTCGCCCTCCTTTCCCTGAGCCCCCCCCCCCCACACACACACCCCCAGCTAACTGAGGGCCTGGGCCCATGAGGACGGGCAGCGTTTCTCAGGTGTTCCTCTGAGGACGGCACAGGGAGAGCCGCTTCTGTCCCCTCCTCTGTCTGCTCGCCTGTTGTCTCTGCACTTGGTGCTGGTCGTGCTGCTCAGACCTGGTTCCCTGGCACAGCGCCTGCCAGGCCGGGCCCTCGGCGGTCAGAGGACACGGCCTGGGTCTGGCTCCTGCTCAGGCTTCGCCTGGCCCAGACCCACGCAGCACAGTGACAGGCTCCTGCTGTCCCGCCCGCCGGCCCTGGAGACCTGTCCGAGGGCCTCGCCTGCAGGTCACTTTCTCCTGGAGCTGTGCTGAGGGGTCGTGCAGGCTGGGAAGGGGCTGCACTGGACGGAACAGCTTGGTGACGGCTGCTTTGTTAGCGGAGCGCCCTTCCCTGCCACTCAGTCTGAGCCAGCGACTGGCTCCCGACGGGGGCGAGGGAAACCCGATCGGCCGACGGCAGGAACGGCCGCGACCTGTGTGCTCGGCGGGCGGGCGGCGGGCCAGCTCCCGGGTCTGTCTCCGCAGGTGGAGAGCGAGAAGCAGCAGGAGCACGAGCTGCAGTGGCTCCGCGAGCACCTGACCATGCTGCTGCACGTGCTGCTGGAGGCCAAGCGCCCGCCCCTGGGCCCCGGCGAGGCGGGCGGCTGGGAGGCGCCCCAGGCAGCAGAGCTGCTGCGGAGGTGCGAGGCCCTGGAGAAGAAGACGGCCACCTTCGAGAACATCGTCTGCGTGCTGAACCGGGAGGTGGAGCGGGTGGCCATGACCGCCGAGGCCTGTGGCCGGCAGCACCGGCTGGACCAGGACAGGATTAAAGCCCTGAGTCACAAGGTGTGTGCCCGGGGCCAGGGCTGTGCTCAGCCGGGACGGTGCGGACAGCGCCTCGATCTCCAGCGCGGCCTCGGCCTCTACAGAGCCCCTTCCCGACCTGTTCGCTGCCCACCGACTCGGCAGAGGGGTCATGGATGTGCCCCCACTCTGTCCGGACAGCCTCCCACTTGAGGCGGGGCGCCAGGGGCTCATGGGGCCGGAGCCAGACTGAGAGGCTGGCCCAGGGCAGCCTTAGGAGCACGGGAGCTGGAAGAGGTGGGAGGGGTGACTTCATAGCACCTTCCTGGGAGGTGGGAGTGGGCCCCCCGGGAATGGGGACAGGCCCATGATCCCCATGTCCACCTGGGCTCCCTGGGCCCCAGGTGCAGCAGCTGGAGAGGAGCATCGGCCTGAAGGACCTGGCAATGGCCGACCTGGAGCAGAAGGTGCATGAGATGGAGGCGTCCACCTTCGACGGCGTGTTCGTCTGGAAGATCTCCGACTTCACCAGGAAGCGCCAGGAGGCCGTGGCCGGCCGCACCCCTGCCATCTTCTCACCAGGTGCCGTCTGGAACTTGTGTCCCCATGTCCCCGTCCTCCCCCCCAATCCCCTCTTGAGTCTCTCCCGTCCTGCTGAGGCCAGGAGCCACTGGGCCTCCCTGAGAGCAGGCGTCAGTGACCAGCCCTCCTGTGGTGGGAGCTCTGCCCCCAACTGGGCTCCTGGTCCCCTGCAGCCACTCACGCCATCTCAGCGTGGCCACCAGGCGTGGCAGCTGCGCCAGGCGGGACTCCCCAGCCAGGCCTGCTCCTGTGGCACCCCATGCCCGCTGCTGGCTGCTCTCGTGCCCCTGGAGCGCAGTGTGTGGGGAGGCGGCGGGTGGGCCTTGCCCCTCCTCACCCCTCCTCACCCCCCCACCCTGCAGCCTTCTACACCAGCAGGTACGGCTACAAGATGTGCCTGCGCGTGTACCTCAACGGGGACGGCACGGGGCGTGGCACACACCTGTCCCTCTTCTTCGTGGTGATGAAGGGCCCCCATGACGCCCTCCTGCGCTGGCCCTTCAACCAGAAGGTACGCAAACTGCCCTGCGGCTGCTGGGGGCCCGGGGCCTGCGGGGCGAGGGTGTTGGGACTGGCTCGGGCTCCTGGCCTCGGGCGTGCACGTGGTGCTGTCGCTGTGGCTCTGGTAGCACCGGCTTCCACAGCCACTTGCCCAGTGAGATGCCACCGCCCGCCCGGGAGAGCCCTTCCTGTGGTGGGAGCGCCCCTGAGCCTGAGGGGTGGGGGGCTTGGGGGCGAGGCCAGCACAGAACTGGTGGGGGGCGGAGCAGAGAGCACGGTGCCACTCGGGGAGGGCTGGTCCTTGGCGTGCTGGGGGTGCAGATGTGCTGGACGCACTTAGCAAACCCAGGAGTGGATGCAGGTCCGTGGCGCTCGGCTCAGTCCCGGGGCCCCAGGTGTCCAAGGACAGAAAACATCAGAATGGGCAGTCACCGGAGGGGCTGATGGCGGGGGGGGGGGGGGGGGCGGGGGCTGACGCTGCCCCTCGGGACTCCTCCTAGGTGACCCTCATGCTGCTTGACCAGAACAACCGGGAGCACGTGATCGACGCCTTCAGACCCGACGTGACCTCGTCCTCTTTCCAGAGGCCGGTCAATGACATGAACATTGCGAGCGGCTGCCCCCTCTTCTGCCCTGTCTCCAAGATGGAGGCCAAGAACTCCTACGTGCGTGACGACGCCATCTTCATCAAGGCCATCGTGGATCTGACGGGGCTCTAGCACCTCCCCTGGGGTCAGGGCCAGGGCACCTGGCCCGCGCGTGGTGACAGCGACCGTGCTGGGCCCAAGCCTCACGGCAGTGGGCAGCCGCACTCACGTCTACCCCCAGGAGAGAGCGCCTCCGGGGGGCCCTCGGCCCCAGGTCCTGCTGGGCCGGGCGCCTGGAGAGCCCTGCAGGCCGTCTGTGGTTGCTCGGGGCCCTGGCCAGGCGGCAGGAGCTCCGGGCGAGGCAGCAGAGAGCAGGCGGGCCGCGTGGGAGTCACCCCCGTGAGGGGCCCAGTGCCTGTCCCACCCGTGGATCCTGGAGACAAGGACAGCTTGGGGCCTGCGCGGCTCTGCGGGGACTTGCTGTGCCAGCCTGGCTGGGCCGTGGCTCGCCCTGAGAGCGTCCCCCACTGCCGGGGGCATGTGCAGGCCACGGTCAGTCTCCCCGAGACGTGTCGCTGGCCCGTGAAGCTGGGAAGTCGTCATTAAATCGTTCACCTGTGGTGAGTGGTGTCCACTGGCTCCCACCTCGCCGGGGCTCCTTCCTGGCCCCCAGCCCCTCTCCAGCCTGAGCGGCTCTGTGGTTCCCTGATGCTCAGCTCATGCCTGTGGGCCTGGGAAGGCAGCGGTTCTTTCTTCTGGAATGTTCTTTGTTGGCTGGCTCCTCCTTCAGATCTGCCCAGGAGGGCGTGACTACACCTTCCCCCATTGTGGGCTGACCCCACTGCGTGGGGCGAGCGGGGTCCCTGCTGGGAGCAGCCAGTGGCTTCGTTGGTGTCTGGGGACCTGACAGCAGCATTGGGGCGCCCTCTCCCCCTGATCCAGGATTTCTCTGGGGGACTGACCCCAGGAGGCCTCAGCCTGTGGGGTGAGGGCAAGGGGTGTCCTGTTCTCCAGGCCTGTGAGTCAGGCTGGTGGGCTGCCTGGCGTCTTCAGAGGGAACTCCGCTCTGACTGCCCTGGACACTCACTTGTCTCGCATGAGAAATTAAAGGGCAGAAAAGCACAGAGACCGAAGCCGTGAGCACACGTGTCCACCTCCCGGACCCACACGTGGCAGAGCAGTTGAGGCCTGTGTGGCCTTTCCCAGAGCACCCCCCCCCCCCCCCCCAGCTCCAGCCTGGCCCTCGCCAGCGGCTGTTTACGTCTCCTTGTGGTTTACCCACAAACGGTGCATGTGTGAGGCTCAGGCGGCCATCGGTGGGAGCTGCTTCCCTCCTGGGCTTTCGACCCTGTGGTGCTGGCACCCATGCGGCGGGCGGGCTGACTGCCAGGCCACCCTCCTGACTGGACCATGAGGTCCCTGGGCCCCTGGACGCCTGGCCTTGGTGGGGACTGAGTGCGAGCAGGTGTTGCTGCCCCCGGACCTCTGAGAGCACCCCGTCTGGCCGTTCCTCAGCGGGTGGTGGGTCCTGTGCACCTGTGGCTTGGAAAGCCTTCCTGGCATGCGCGGCCCTGGCCCTGGTGGCACATGGCACCACGTGGTGGCGCAGATGGACATTCAGACTCGATCGCTGGACAGCCTTCCTCTGGACAGTGCTGCTGACCAGCCATCTAGGAAGCCCCGACCTGCTGCCCTGGGCTGAAACGCCCTCGTGCTGGCTTTAGTTTTGTCTGTAACGTTGGGCGTGATGCTGGCGTTTGTATCTGGCGTGTGTGTTCGTGTGTGTTTGGTGGCAAGTGAGAGGGTTTCCTGCCACGGGACCCTCAGAACTCTGCTCCGAGAAGCCAGCCCCAGGCCGCGCTGTGCGCTGCTGCCTGTAAGGTCCAGGACGGCCAAATCCACGGGCAGCGGCTGTGCACCCAGTGGGCGGCTCAGAACAGTCAGTGAGAGTAGAAAGGGTCAAGGGAGGCCAGAGGGGAGCGGCAGCAGGAGGTCCCAGTCCTGGGATCCACAGCCATGGCCTGTGACCTACAGGGATGGTCCCGCGGGTCCCGAGGCGGCAGAGGCCTGGAAGGGACAGGAGGCTGCGCGCGCCTGGTCTGTCTCCATGCTCCCAGACCCAGTGTGTCCAAGCTCGGCCCAGGGCCGGCTCTGGATGGAGCTGCTCTGCACACCGGGCATGACCTGGCCCAATAACTGTCCCTTCCTCTCGGGTGCGGTGCTGCCAGGCCACATGCGAGTTTAAATTCATAAACTGAAACCGTGTCCCAGAGCCGTTGCTGGAGTCTGCGTGTCCCCACACACAAACAGTCACACCCTGACGCTCTGACCCCCGGGTGCAGGTGCTGGGAGGTGCCTAGGTCATGAGGGCGGGGCCCATGATGGGATCAGTGCCCTTCTGAGAGGGACCCCCCCCCCCCCAACCCGAGGCCACTCTGAGACCTGGAGGGCGCCCTGCCTGCCAGCACTGCCTCAGCGTCCGCCGCCAAGCCGAGGGGAGGACTGGGAGCCTGGCCTGTGCTGCTGGGTGGTGCAGCCCGGGGGCTGAGGCAGCCTGCACCCCGTGTTCCCACCCGTGCAGTGGCAGCTCCTGTGCCTGCTGGTCCCTGCGGGCACTGCGTGTGTGTGTGTGTGTGTGTGTGCGCGCGCGCACGCGCACGCATGTGTAACAGGCATGGTGTCCGTCTGGCTTTAATGTGCACGTCCCTAATGTCTAACAACCGTGACTGCCTCCTTTGGTGACGTGTCCGATTCTCTTGCCCATTTTAAGTCGAGCTGGGCTTCCTGCTGCCGTTACGCAGTCCAGGCACAAGTGCTGGGTATGTGACTTGTAACTACTTCTCGTCTGGTTTCTTTCCATCCTCAAGTGTTTTCAGAGCAGAAGTCACTTTCGCTGAAGTCGTGGACCCACTTTCCTAACAGGCGGTGTCTGGGCACCTGTGCCGGCCCCAGGGCGCAGGTGTGCGGCTGCAGGTCACGTGGAGCATGTGGTCCTCACGGGGTGAGGTTGGTCGGGGCTCATTTTTTCTGCCAGTGATACCCGTTGTCCCGCAGCACTCGCTGGATGACGCCCACCGAGTGGCCACACACGTCACTGCGACCTCCCCTCTCCGGACTCTCCTTCTGGGAAGGGCTCACCTGCCGCATTTGTGTGCAAGGTGTCCCATGGACGCAACCAGCACCGCTGTCCCCGTGACCAGACCTCCATGCGGGGCTCTTCAACTTCATTGTTTCTCGGAATCGCTTCAGCTGCGTCGGTTCCTCTGCAGACCCGTGTGCATCTTAGAAGCACCTTGTCCGCAGCCATTCAAGCCCAGGGGGCCTTGGCTGGGCTGTCGGGCCTGTAGACCCGTTTGGAGAAAGCGGGCCCCTGTGCGAGTCGCCCCCAAGGAGGACGGTGCCGTCTGTGGGCCTGTGGGCCCGGTCACCACCGCGCTGCGGGGGCACGAGCCGGGCTAGGTTCCCACCTAGCTGTCTTTCTTTTTAGCTCATGTAAAAGGTCTTGATTTTTAAATTTTGGTTTCGTTTTGGTCTATTTCTGTTTGGAGACCTGGTTGATTGCTGTGCTATAGGCACATCCTGTCAGCTTCCTGAACCCACTTTCTGCTTCCAGGAGGTCCTTGGATTTGTCTGTAGACGGGGGGGGGGGGGGGCATGCCTAAACAATTGTCACCTGTGAGAAGGGACAGTGTCTGCACCCTGTCATTCTCTTTCTTGCCTTGCTCCACGGTGAGAGGGAACAGGTAGGGGGCTGTGACTGCCTGTTCCCGTCCTGGGGGGCACTCCTTGTCACCCCAAGTGCAATCTTATCTGCGGGTTTTCTGGGCCAGCCCTTTTCTCAGGCTGAGCAAGCTCCCTTCCAGCCCGGCCTGCTGAGCTTTTATCCTGGCCAGACGCTCTGAACGCTTCCCCCGCACCGATGCACTGGCAAGCGTAGCTTCCCGCAGCCACAGCTCCCGCTCTTCATTCCGCAGGCACCTTGCGTCTGTTAGCAGAGACGACGCAGTGTGCTGCTGCCAACTGTTTATTCGGGTCCTGAACTGGTGACGAGTGACATGCAGTCCACCGGGCCGGCCACAGGCTGGCCCGCATCGCCCACCAGAGGGGACCCTGGGCTCCCAGGGCCAGGTTGGGCATGACCACCCCCCAGGGCCCCTGAGGGCCAGCTGAGGGGGAGGGTCGTGCTGACGTCCCCAGGCCCAGGCCTAGGGAGAGGGGTGGGTGAAGGGTGGGGCTCCCAGTGTCCTGTGCACCCCAAGCAGCCAGGAAGCCGCCGGGTGCCCGAGAGCTAAGTGTCACGGCCGTGGGAGGTGCTGTGTGCACAAGCGTGGTGGGGTCCAGCGTCCACTCCTGCAGCCCCGCGGACCTCCTTCCTCAGGCATCGCTGCTGCGGGCTCCTCTGCCCCCACGCCCTCTGGGCAGCAGCCTCCGTGGGTCCTGCAGCGGAGACACCGTGCTCCTCGGGCGCGCCCCTCAGCGCCTCTGGCTGGCGAACCAGGAGAAGAAGGGGCGCGGGCGGGGGGCCTGGAGGATGCGCACGGTGCGGGGCGAGCGCCAGGCCTTGATGGTGGCGTCGTCGCTGGCTGTCAGCAGGAGCTCCTGCTCCTGGGGGCTGAACACCACGGAGTTGACGACGTCCTGGTGCCGCAGCTTGGCCAGGCAGATGTTGTAGTGGCGGTCCCAGACGTAGCCGTGCCGGTCCTCAGCCCCACTGTGAGACGACGAGCTGATGAGCCCCGCGCCCGCCGGCCCACCGCCCGACCGCCCGACTGCCCGCCGGCGCCCCGACCTGGCCACGAAGTCCCGGCTCACGTCCAGGAAGATGAAGAAGCACTCGTCGTTGGGCGTGTAGGCGCGGTGGGCGCGCAGGGCCCGCTTCACCTCCCGCATGGTCTTGAGGTCAAACACCAGCAGGTCGATCTCCTCGGCGATGGGCGGTGGCTGCATGGGGTCGGCCACCACGGAGCCGCTGGGCCAGGCGCGGCTGTTCACGTACAAGTACCTGGGAAAGGGCACCCTGCTCACTGGCGTGCGCACACCCGAGACCCCTCGCCCCTCCGCCCCGCACTCAGCACACCTGTGGTCGGGGGACAGGCCCATGCCAACGATGTGCCCATGCACGTCGATCACGTGGTCCAGGGCATCAAAGAAGGCGTCGGAGCCTCGCCCCTCGCCCAGCACGGGCCCCGCCGTGGTCATCTGGTGCGGCAGGATATGCTTGATGCCGATCTGGTGCGGGGAGTAGGTGAGGCAGCCGGTGGTGAAGATGAGGAGCTTGTGCTGGGCGCAGGCCGCATGGCCCTCGGGGGGCTTGGTGCGGCCCTGGGCCAGCAGCTCCGCCACCTTGGTCTCCAGCATGCGCTCCGCCAGCGGCGGCTGAGCCCGGGCGTCCAGGAGCCCGCCCAGGAGGCGCCGCCAGCCCTCCTCGGTGCGCCGCGGGGCCGGGCCCGCTGCCTCCTCCTCCTCATCGACACCATCGCTGCTCAGGTCAAAGACGCGGCCCGGGGGCGCGCTGGTGTCCAGCAGGAGGTCAGGGCTGTCAAAGCGGCCGCAGTCGGCCACCATCACCGTGCGGATGGTGCTGGCGTTGAGGTTCTGAATCTTAAAGAGCCGCTTCACCACGTTGACGTTCTCAGACTCAACGTCCTGGGGGTGTGGGGGGCGCAGGCGGCAGGGGACGGCAGTTGGGGAGTGGCACTGCCACCTGGGGCCACCCGCCAACCTCAGGGCCGCCTGGGGCTGCCCGCCTCACCTGGGGCCGCCCCCTCACCGGGGGCCGCCCCTCACCTGGAAGGCGTTGTTGAGCCAGAGCACGGAGCAGGAGGTGACCTCCCCGATGCGGTGTAGGTTGCCAGAGATGAGGCTGGTCTCGGTGAGCCAGCAGCCGAACACGTCGTAGGGCTTGTTGCGCACTCGGGACAGCAGCACGAAGGTGTCTGGGGAGGAGCGGGGGCTGGGCTACGGGAGGGCGGTGGGCAGTGGGAAGAAGCTGGGGGCAGGGGGCTGGGGCTGGGCCAGTAGCCCCAGGCCCGCGCTCACCTAGGCTGATGACCGCAATCTCCCCGGAGGAGGAGTTGTGGGGCCCCAGGAACACCCCCGAGGCGAGCAGCAGCGAGTCGTCCTGGTTGAACTGGGAGAACTGCGTGTAGCTCCAGTTGTAGGGCCGCATGTCCGCGCTGTGCAGCAGCGCGATGGTCAGGTCGTTGTTCCAGATCTGAGGGGGCGCGGAGGGTCAGGCACGGGACACGCGAGCCCTGGCCGTCCGGCCCACGCAGGTGCCCAGGAACCACCGCCAGGGGCTCCTGCTCCTGGTGTCAGCCCAGCCCAGGGTGGGGGCCCAGGGGCGGGTGCCCAGGCTCAGGTCTGGAGCAGCAGGCTTCCAGCGGGACCCTCCTCCCTGTTGGCAGCTCTGGCCTCTCCAGTGCAGCCTCTGGGCCTGGCTGGTCCTGACTTGCCCTCTCCACGGGGATGAGGCCGCCTGGCAGTCTCACCCACGGCCGGCCCTCCCCTCCCTGTGTCGAGGCGGGGCCTGCCCCAGCCCCAGCTCTGGGCGGCCCTCACCTTCACGGTGCAGTCTTTGGAGCAGGACGCAAACTGGTAGCCCGAGTGGGAGAAGCTGAGGTGCAGGACCTGGTCCGTGTGCTCCCGGAGCGTCTGCACCTCCACGCAGGGCACCGTGTCATAGAGCCGCCGGAACTCCTCGTACCAGGATGAGGCCGCTGTGAGTGCGGGGGGTGGGGGTGGGGGGGTCACTGCTGGGGCCCGGTGGTGGGGCCAGCCCTGCCCCTGGAGCTCGCTGGTCACCACCCCAACATTGGGGCGGCCTGACTACCCGGCCTTGCCAGGCCTGCATTCCCAGGCCTGGCCCAGGTGCCGGACTGGACGTAGGTGGCAGCCGTGGGGGCCTGGCCCCACCCAGCCGTCCTGGGGGCCGCAGGCACGCGGTGCTGACCTGGGTGTCGGGGCACATCGCGGGCCACCTGGTAGTAGCGGTAGAACTGCTCCCTCCAGAGGAACTCGTCTCGGGACACGGCCTGCCACTGGCGGCACACCAGCCCGGCGGCCAGCACGTCCGCGGGGCCCAGGCTCAGGAAGATCTGGTAGACCAGGCAGTCGGGGAGCAGGGGTGTGCCCCCCTCGTCCATCGTGACATTCTGCCCAGGCGGCCCTGGAACCCACGCACGACCTCCTCAGCGCCCGTAGGACTTAGGACGGGGGAGCCCCCACCCAGGAGAGGGGCGGGGCCTGGGCTGAGCAGAGACATCCCTGTGGCCGCTCCTCCGCCCCCCCAGCTGCCCAGCGGGAACCCACCGCAGGGATGGGGGGGGGGCCGAGTCCCGGATGCCCGGGCCTGGTTCAGCCCGTGGGGGAGCGCGGTGCGAGCCTTGGGGACCCCAGACCACCCTACCCGGAAGGCTCCAGGCCTAGGAGACAGGCCTTTGGGTGCCCCCTGCCCTCCCCCCGCCTGGGCCCAGAGAGACATGGGTGCCAGGGCTGCGGCGGCTCCAAGGCCAAGACACGCAGGCCCCGCGCTCCGGCCACGATGACCTTGCGGCCGCCCGAGGCTGCGGAGCCGTCGGCGGGGGCTTCCTCCCAGAGAGGGTTTGGGGTCCGCCCGTCCCAGCGCCCCCGACGCCGCCGGGCCCTCCAGCCGCCCGGGGTCTCTGCCTGCGGCCCCGGGAGCCCGCGGGCCAGGCGGCCTCGGACGGGAGCGGGGGGCGGGGGCCGGGGCGGGGCCGGGACCGCCCAGCGCCCCCTCCCACCTCCGCGAGGGGCTGCGGGGCGGGGCCGCGGCTCATTCATTGGCCGGGGCGCGGGCCGGGGTCAGGGCGGGGGCGGGGGCCGGTGTCGACGCTCCCGGGCCCTGGAGCCGGGTCGGGGGCGGTGGTGACGCTCCCCGGGGGCGGGCGACGTCGTTCCCCGGGGCCGGCGCACTCACCGCGGCCGCCTCCGCCCGGCTGCGCTGCCCCCGCCCCGGCGCCCGGCCTCGGCCCGCGGACCCGCTTCCGCCCGCCGCCGCTCCGCCTGCCGCGTCTTTACGGTGCAGCCGCCAGGCCGGCGCCTCGAGCCCCGCGGCAGCGATGGGCGCCCGCAGCTGCGTCACTGCGCCTGCGCCCCACCCGCGCTCTGTGCGCCTGCGCGCTCGGCGAGCCCAGAAGAGCGCCCCTGGCGGCCGGGAGGCGCGGCGCCGGCTGGGCTGGGGCCCGTGGGGTGCTGGTTCCAGACCCGCCGCCGCCCTCCGTGGTCGGTTCCTAGCAACTGGCTCCAGGAGCCTCTCCCTTCCTCTCTGAAATCAATGAAAAAATATTTAAAAAAAGAAAAGACCAGTGCCGACCTCAAGGAGCTGCGGGCGGTTTAACGGAGAAAAATGTGCAAAGGCCTGAGCACTGGCCACGGGAGATCGGGTGGCGGCTCCTGGACCAGCCAGTCACCTCGGACTCTGGACCCAGGGCCTGGCGCCAGGGCCCTGCGCGGAAGTGCAGGGTCGAGGTCAGATGTCCAGGGTGAGGCCAAACTCGGGGGGCTGGGGCTTGGGGACCAGACGTGACTTCCTGGGCAGCACCGGACAGTGGACTCCGACCCAGGACGTGTTCATCTGCCCTCCGTGTTGCTCAGACCTGGCACCGACACCGCCTCCGCCATGCTGCCGCCCAGGACTGCCCTCCTCTGGACTCTGGTCCTGGCTGCTGGCTTCCTGGGTCTGGGGGCTCGGAGACGCCCCCAGCGCCCGTCCCCCATCAGCGCCATCCAGCCCAAGGCTGGCTTCGACGCCCAGCAGGTGGAGCTGGGGGCGGTGGGGAGGCGGCAGCTCGCCCAGCTTCGTAGGGAGGGTCAGGCCGGGCAGCCCCATCCCCTCAGGTCCTGACACCCCTGCCTCCAGTTTGCAGGGACTTGGTTCCTCGTGGCTGTGGCCTCCTCCTGTCGCTTCCTGCAGGAGCAGGGCCACCGTGCCGAGGCCACCGCAGTGAAGGTGGCGCCCCAGGGAGCCGCCATGGCTGTCAACACCTTCCAGAAGCTGTGAGTTCTGCACGGGCCCCACGGCCACCCCAGCCCCGACCACCCCCCTGTGGCCTGTCCTGCTGTCCCGCACGGGCTGCCCAGGGCGGGTGCCCGAGCTGCTGTGCCTTCGCCCCTCCCAGGGATGGCATCTGCTGGCAGGTTCGGCAGCTCTACAGAGACACGAAGGTCCCGGGCCGCTTCCTGCTCCGAGGTGAGGCAAGGCAGCGGGAGGGGATGCAGGGCCGGGGATGGGGCTGACCTCACTGGCCCGGCTCTGGCCGGCTTTGCCCGTCTCTGCCCAGCTCGAGGCGCGAGGGGAGATGTGCACGTGGTCGTCGGGGAGACGGACTACCAGAGCTTCGCCATCCTGTACCTGGAGCGGGCGCAGCGGCTGTCGGTGAAGCTGTACGGTGCGTCCTCGCGGGCGCCCTGGCTCTGACACACTAGTCTCCACCGGGGAGCTGGACCAGCCCTGATGGACACACAGCCCCCCCCCTCTCCTGGCGTCCTGACCTTCTCCTGCCAATCCATCGGGGGTTCAGGGACGCACCCCTGCAGATAGGCCCAGGTGTGGGACAGGAAGGGGACAAGAGGGGCAGGGGTCAGACAGGGCTGGGCGGGTGGTGGGCACACAGACCCTGTCCCCAGAGTGCCCTGCCCCCCCGACCCGCGGGTGCCCCAGGAGCCCTGTGTCCCACAGCCCGCTCGCTCCCCGTGGACGACTTGGTCGTGAGTAAGTTTGAGCAGAGTGTCCAAGAGGCCAACATGACGGAGGACCACATCTTGTACTTCCCCAAATATGGTGAGTGCCCCCATGTCCCCAGGTGGCTGCCTGCCCTCCGCAGGCCTTGCCTGGCCACACTGACCCCTGCTTGGCCCCCAGGTTTCTGTGAGGCCGCTGACCAGTTCCATGTCCTGGACGGTGAGTGGGCGGCGGGCCCGGCTGGGCGGTGCATGGAGGGCGGGCGAGGGCCGAGGTCTCGCTGGCTGAGCGCCGTCTCTGTGCAGAGGTCAAGAGGTGAGGCCACCCAGCCCCTGGATGAGAGGCCGAAAGGACCCTCCACTGAGACCTGCACCCACCTACCCTCGGAAGCTGCCCCTCACCCCCAGGACCCTGGGCACTGCCCCCATTAAACGCCACCCTTCTTGGCCCGACTCCTGCCTTTCTGTGCTGGCTCTGTCCCAGGCCCCTGTGGTGAGGTCACCCCATGTGACCGCTCCCCAGGTGGGTCAGGGACCCTCCCAGGGAGGCCAGGCGACGGTGGCTGTGGGCCCAGGTCTGGGTGAGCTGGCACCGGCCTCGGAGGGTGGCCGGACTCGGGACAGAGGTGGGGGGTCTGTACTCCAGGTGGAGGACTGGTGAGCACAGGGGCTCTGGGAACACAGACGAGGGCCCCCCACACAGCCAGGCAGCCCCCCCATCCCCCCGGAGCCGATACCCAGGGTCTGGCAGGATCACCAGCCAGAGACTTGGAAGCAAGGCATGCTCTGCCCGTAGGGAGGAACTTTCCGGAATGCGGGGAGAGAGAGACGGGGGAGGGGCTGAGACGGGCCAAGGTGTCCTGTCCCCGCGGCTGCCAGGAGGGGCCCACACTCCACACTCAGCGAAAGGAGAGGCCCTGAGGTAGGGCCCCTCGGGGAAGGGCCTGGTGCCCCTGAGCACAGTGCGTCCCGCCTGCTGGTCCCTCACGAGGTCCCGACATAGAAAACGTGGAAGAGAAGACGCACAGTCGTTGCCCGGCCGGCGTGGCTTGGCGTGGACCTATGACCCAGGAGGTCAGGGCACAGGCCCGGGTTGTGGGCTCGATCCCAGTGGGGGGCGTGCAGGAGGCGGCCGATCCAGGATTCTCTCTCATCACAATGTCTCCCTCTCCCTCTCCCTCTCCCATCCTCTCTGAAATCAACAAAAACATATCTTTTAAAAGTGCTTCCCAAGCTCTAATCACATGTTCAGATGCGAAGGCGAAACAGCAGTAGCTCCGGGCGAATCCCTAAACACATTTACTGTCTTACTCAGGGCGGCGCTGCCCGAGGGCACTGGGCCTGGGGCTCTGTTCACCAGAACCGATGGCCCCTTTGTGCTGAGCGGCCGGGAGACGGGGTCCCTGTGCAGGGCCCGCTGTCCCCGTTCTGACACGCTGCTGACTGCGCCCCCATCTCTCACCAGGGCGCCTGTGGACGGGGCCGCCCGCCCTGGGAGGGGCGTCCCCTGGCGAGGCTGAGGGGCTGGCGGTGTGTGTGTCGGGGGGGGGGGGGGGGGGGGGACGCCAGGCCTTGGGGGGGGGGGGGAGTGAGGTTCCTCTGAAACGTCAGGGGAAACAGTCACGTGACTGGGAACTTCTCTCCCCATGGATCCGTCTCCTGGAAGACACTGCTGACCAGCGGGCACAGCGAGCGCCAGGCAGGGAGCATCGCCCCGTGGGCTCCGCCCTCCCGTCCCAGGGCCTGCGGATGACCCAGAGGGTCCTGGGGGCTGGGATCTCTGAGTGTCTGGCTGGGGCTCCTGCTCGAACAGGCTGCCCAAGGCTGAGTGTGAGCGAAGGGAGGAGGCGGCCTAGGACAGGGGGACCCCGCGGGGGAGCAGGTGGCCTAGGACAGGGGTTCACAGGTCGGGGACACAGTCTTCCCAGCTGGTGTGGAGTCCAGCACCCACAGGCCCACTGCCCGCGGCTCCTTCCTCTGGGGGGGCTGGGGGCGGGGGGGGCCTGCAGGCTCAGAGCCACCTGTACCCCCGACTGGTCTCCTGCCCCATGACAGTGTGTGGGCGCCTCCCCCCACTGGGCCCAGCTGGCCCCCTCCCTGAGCTGAGAGTCGCTGGGGGTTGTCCCCCTCCCCCCCGGCCGGCACCCGCCGGACTTCGGGTTGGGGCATGCGGGCAGCGTGGGTGCGGCAGGCCGGGCACTGCACCGTGTCCCTGCAGCAAGAACACCGTGGCTCTGACGCCTGGGGACTCGAGGGCCATGTCCCTGGCCTGGTGCATTCTGTCCTCCACCCTGGCACAGGCCTGGCGCTCAGAAGGGGGGTCGGAGCTGGGGGGGACATGGGGGGACGGCGTTCAGGAGGAGAAGGCCAGGACCAGGGACCTGGGAGGCACCTCCCCATTTCCTGCCACCTCCCTCCCCAAGCAAGACCCAGGTGCCCCCCGTCTTTAGTGGGCAGATCTGAGGAGGGCCCGCCTCAGCCCCCCCAGGCCCTGCACCCACTCCCCTGCGGCCAGGCCTGGGGGTGGAGCTGCACACCCAGGGGGGCTGCGGGGCGGGGCCCATAGGAGGGAGCTGAGTCGCCAGCACCCGTGGCCACTTCTCTCAGCGGCCAGATGGGACCTCTGTGTGCCCTGTGGGTGCTGCTCACGCTGCTGGAGGCCATCACCCCGCCGCCTAAGTTCTGGCCGACCACCATCCAGATCATGCAGGGCTTCGAGGTGGACAAGGTTGGAGGGGTGCCAGGGGGCGGCAGCGGGCAGGATGCAGGGAGAGGCAGGCCCTGCTGGCATGGGCAAGGCCTGGGCGTCCAGTTCAGCCAGCCCTGCACAAACGGGGACCGGCTCTCAGACCCCCCTTTCCCGCGGAGACCCCTGAGCTCCACCGGAGGCCACCGCTCCGGGGTCCGCACCCCGTGCTGCAGCCCGGACGGTCCCCGCGAAGGGACCACCCCAGTCCCTCAGAGAGGCCGCAGCTGGCCAGGATCCCCGCCTTGCCTGCCCCAGGGGCCCCCAGCTCCCAGCCTCCGTGGTACAGCCCACGGGGGACCCGGCCTGCAGGGGGGCTCGGCCTCTGGGCTCTGCCAGCCCAGCTGCCTGTAGTTTCAGGGGGAGTGGTTCGTGCTGGGCCTGGCGGGCAGCACCCACAGCCGGGCAGACAGGTCCTTGCTGAGCCCTTTCACCGCGACGTTCGAGAAAAATAAAACGAATCAGCTTAAGGTGACCTACGCCATGATCCGGTGAGTGAGGGTCCCGGCCTGTGCCCGGAAGCCAACGGCCCTGCAGCTCAGGTCCCCTGAGGCCTCCTAATGCTGGGACACCCAGCCCTGTGGGGGGACCCCGAAGAGGGGGGCATTCGCCAGAACACAGACTCAGCCCGAGGGCTTACGGACTTCAGGCTCGGCTGGATCCGGCAGCCCAGATGCCCTCTCAGCTCTGCCTGCTCCTCACCCCTGTGCAGGCAGGTTCTCACCTCCCAGGACAGGACGGTGGCCTGGGCCGCCACCCTCAGGGTCCCAGTCCCAGGAGAGGGCGCCTCCAGGCCAGCGAGGCCATGAGCTCTGCTTGGTCTTTTTGGTTTTTTAATAATTTTTTATTGATTTCAAAGACAAAGGGAGAGGGAGAGAGAGAAACATCAGTGATGCCCTGGCTGGTCTGGCTCAGTGGATAGAGCTTCGTCAGTCTGCAGACTGAGGATTCCTGGGTTCGATCCGGCCAAGGGCATGTGCCAGGGGGATGAACCCCAGGAGGATGTTTCCACCTCTCTCTCCCTCTCCCTTCCTCTCTGAAATCAATAAAAACATTTAAAAAAAAGAAAAGAAACATCCATGATGAGAGAGAATCATGGATCGGCTGCCTCCTGCACGCCCCCTACTGGAGATCAAGCCTGCAACCCGGGCACATGCCCTGGACTGGAATCGAACCCAGGACCCTTCAGTCCGCAGGCTCTATCCACTGAGCCAGACCAGCCAGGACCGATGGGTCTTCTTGAGTCATGTGCGCCTCCTGGACCAGGGGCTGTGCCCGGATGAAGTGCCCCCCATGGAGGAGAGGGGGCCCTGATGGGCAGCCCCTGTGGGGGCCGCAGCCTTTCCTGCCCGGCTGCCGGGCTGCAGAGGAGGAAAGGCCCCAAGGCCTCTGGTCCCTCGGACGTAAAGCAAGAAGCTACGCGAGGCTGGCGTGTCCTGTGGAGCCGGGTGTCCCTAGGGGCCAAGAGGGGCTGCCCTCGGCTTCCAGCCCCAACCCACCCGGGAGCACGGCCCCCCACGGCCCTGGGACTCCGGGGCCCCTGACTTGACCAGCTGGGCTCCGGCTGCAGGTGGATGAAGGGGGGCAGGGAACCCGGAGCCCTTGGGCAGCCGCCTCCCACCGCAGGCCCCGCTGCACCGGCCACTCCGCACCGCCAGCAGCTCCCTGCAGACGGCCCTGCGCTGCTGGCCGGGCCATCAGCCTGGCGGGTGCAGGAGGTGCAGGGCCCAGCACCGGCAGCCACACCGCCTCCCCCACTTCTCCCGGGGCCCCCCCAGAGAGGGCTCTTTGTCTCCTCACTGCACCCCCGTTCCAGGCCCACAGGCGTGGTCGGCGGGTGGACGGGGCAGAGGCTGCAAAGGGGGTGGGTGAGCCACGCCGACAGGAGGCAGAGCTCACGCCTGGCTGCTCGGGAAGCAGGTGGCCACGCATCCCCGCGAGGGCAGCCGAGCCCCAGCCTGCCGGGCCCTGCTCACCACCCCCACCCTGCGCTGCATTCTCCTGGGAGGCCCGCGTGGGGCCAAGGTGGCCGGCGGCCCCCGGAACCTGCCTCCTCTGCCCTTCTCCCCCCAGGGGCCAGCGCTGCGTCACCTGGTCGTATGTGCTGATTCCCACAGCCCAGCCTGGCGTGTTCTCAGTGGAGAAGAGCAGGGGTGAGACGGTGGGTGGGAGGAAGGCAGGGGGCGCTGGCCGGGGGCCCCCTGACCGGGCTGTGCCCCCTAGAGCTCGGGACCGACACCGAGGAGGTGTGGGTGCACGAAACGGACTACAGCACCTTCGCGCTGACGAGCTCCCGCAGGCGGTCCAGGCACCGCAGCATCCTCAGGGTCCACCTGCTGTGTGAGCCCCTCCCGTCCTCTAGCCTCCCCGCGGCTGGTGGGGCTGGGGGGGGGAGTGGCCATGTGCTGGGCCTGGGGCCACACCAGCGGGCGGGGGTGTCCACCACTCGGGCCACCCCAGGGCTAAGGCCACGCTGTGTCTTGGGCTGCAGTCAGAGCGTGGGCGCTTCAGACTGAGGCGCTGGAAAAATTCCTCTGCCTCCTCAAAGCCCGGGGCCTGTCGGAGGCCAACATCGTCTTCCCAGACATCCCAGGTAGCGCCTGCTCCCTCCTCCCACCTGGGCCCTCCTCCCGGCCACCTGCTCCCACCTGGGCCCTCCTCCCGGCCACCTGCTCCCACCTGGGCCCTCCTCCTGGGCCACCTGCTCCCACCTGGGCCCTCCTCCTGGCCACCTGCTCCCACCTGGGCCCTCCTCCTGGGCCACCTGCTCCCACCTGGGCCCTCCTCCCGGCCACCTGCTCCCACCTGGACCCTCCTCCCGGCCACCTGCTCCCACCTGGGCCCTCCTCCCGGCCACCTGCTCCCACCTGGGCCCTCCTCCCGGCCACCTGCTCCCACCTGGGCCTTCCTCCTGGGTCACCTGCTCCCACCTGGGCCCTCCTCCCGGCCACCTGCTCCCACCTGGGCCCTCCTCCCCGCCACCTGCTCCCACTGGGCCCTCCTCCTGGGCCCCCTGCTCCCACCTGAGTCCCTCCTCCCACCTGCTCCCACCTGAGTCCCTCCTCCCACCTGCTCCCACGTGGGCCCTCCTCCTGGCCACCTGCTCCCACCTGGGCCCTCATCCCAGCCACCTGCTCCCACTGGGCCCTCCTCCTGGGCCCCCTGCTCCCACCTGAGTCCCTCCTCCCACCTGCTCCCACCTGAGTCCCTCCTCCCACCTGCTCCCACGTGGGCCCTCCTCCCGGCCACCTGCTCCCACCTGGGCCCTCCTCCCAGCCACCTGCTCCCACTGGGCCCTCCTCCTGGGCCCCCTGCTCCCACCTGAGTCCCTCCTCCCACCTGCTCCCACCTGAGTCCCTCCTCCCACCTGCTCCCACTGGGTCCCTCCTCCCGGCCACCTGCTCCCACTGGGCCCTCCTCCTGGGCCCCCTGCTCCCACCTGGGCCCTCCTCCTGGCCACCTGCTCCCACTGGGCCCTCCTCCCACCTGCTCCCACCTGAGTCCCTCCACCCACCTGCTCCCACCTGAGTCCCTCCTCCCACCTGCTCCCACTGGGCCCTCCTTCCACCTGCTCCCACTGGGCCCTCCTTCCACCTGCTCCCACTGGGCCCTCCTTCCACCTGCTCCCACCTGGGCCCCCCTCTGGGCCACCTGCTCCCACCTGGGCCCTTCTCCTGGGCCACCTGCTCCCACCTGGACCCTCCTCCCGGCCACCTGCTCCCACCTGGGCCCTCCTCCTGGCCACCTGCTCCCACCTGGGCCCTCCTCCTGGCCACCTGCTCCCACCTGGACCCTCCTCCTGGGCCACTGCTCCCACTGGGCCCCTCCTCCTGCCGCAGCCCCTCCCAGATCAGCTGCTCCTCCCTCCTGCTCCCTGGGAAGCGGCCACTCCCCTCCCTCCTGGTCCTGAGCCGCTGTCTCCCCTCAGACTGGGCGCGCTACCGGAAAACCTGTGGAACGACCAAGTGACCCCGTGCCAGGCTGTCCCTGCCCAGCCCTCACTCAGCAGGAAACAGCCCGCGAGCCCGTGGCTGGGACGCTGGCCATTTCCTCCGCGGCGGCCGAGCACAGAGGAGCTCTTCTCGGAGGACGCCCCCCTGCACCCCCCCCCCCCCCGTCAGAGGTCACATGGTGTCACTCCGCCCACGCGGGGGGAAGGTGGCAGCAGGTGGCAGGAGCCCTGGGGGGGGGGGGAGCGTGCGGCGGTGGCATCGGGGGTTCGCCTTGTCTGACAGCTGCTCCTGTGCCCTTTCTTTTAGGATTAATTCCTTTATTACATCATTTTCTCTTATTAGCTTAATTTACTTATTTTAACCCTTTTTATTTTTTTTATTGATTTCAGAAAGAGGAAGGGGAGGTGGAGGGGAGAGAGAGAAACATCAATGAGGAGAGAAAAATCATGGACCAGCTGCCTCCTGCACCCCCCCCCCCCCCCCCGGGGATGGAGCCTCACCTGGGCCTGCGACCTCCCGGTTCATAGGGTGACTCTCAGCCCCGAGCCACCGGCCGGGCCTGTTTAACCGTTTCACCGTGTTTGAGGGCACAGCTCAGTGGCATCGGGCACATTCACACGGTGTGTGCGGGGCAGCCTCTCCAGAACTGTCCCTCTTCCCACCCCGACTCTGTCCCAGGAAACACCCTCCCACCCCCCATCCAGCCCCGGCCCCGCCTCCCCCGGCCCCTGTGGGTCTGATGCCTCCAGGGACCTCCTCGGAGTGGGTCCCACGGATGGTCCTGTGGCGGGTGCATCCCACGGCCTGTCCCCCAGGCCCTCCCGGTGTGGCCGGTGGCAGCACCCCCCGTGGCTGCACAGTGTCCGGCTGCGGGAGGCCGCGTGTTTGTCCGTCTCTGCTCCGTGGACACGGCTGCTCCCGCGTGCGGCTGTCGGTCACGCGGCTGTCGGTCACGCGGCTGTGCACGTGGGGGCGCGGTCTCTCCGCGGACATGTTTCCTGCTCTTTCCTCGGTTGGCGGGAGGCGGGCCGATCCCGAGCCCCAGTGTGGCCATAACGGGGTGTTTGCTGCTCTTGAACCCCACGCCCCTCCGAGCGCCTTGGGCGTCTGGGTCAAGTCTATGGAGACACGCGGAGCCGAGCGGGACCGGTCCCGGGCCTGGCCCACGTCGGGGTCCCTCCTGCCTGGCCCGCTCTCCCGGGCAGAGCCGCTGGCGATGAGTCGCTTCAGGTTTGGTTTTCTGAGAAAAGCCTGTGTCGTGTCCATTTCTGAAATGCGGACTCAGCTGGGATGTCTCACGAGCGCTGCGGGCACGGGCAGCCGTCCACTCGGAGCGGGCAGGGCCAGGCACCTGTGCAAACACCACCAGCGCGGGTCCCGCCGAGATCCCCCCAAGCCCGCCGCCCCGCCCAGCGGCCATCAAATTCCTGTCCCCACGGGGAGTTTGGCCTGACTGTGTCTCCACAGGCCCAAGGCCACCGCCCCCTTCGCTGGGCGGTCAGGAGACGCTGTGCCTGCCTCGGACCCACCCCCTCACCTCACTCGCCTCCAGCCGAGGTGGGAGCTACAGTTTCCCGGCTGATGGGGGACATGGGAACATTGTCTCCACTGTTCATGCTCGTGCGTGCACACACACGCACACACGTATGCATGTATGCCCGCGTATATATGCATATGCATACACACGTGTATACACACACAGGCATGCACACACGTGTATACACACACAGGCATTTGCACACAGGTGCCCGCCCCCCTCGCCTCTGCTGGGGACACACTGTCTCTTTGTGTGTCTTCGGAAGCTCCCGCTGGACTGAGGAATTTCTGGCAGGAAGAAAGCTTTTCTGCCGGAAGTTTTATTTCTCAGGTTCCCGGCTTAGTGGGAGCTGGGACTTTCCACCCCCTCCACGGCCAGGACTCTGAGACCCTGGGCAGCGAGTGACCCCGAAGCCACTGTGCCCTTCAGCACGGTCCCAGGCTGCCCCACGGAGGCTGGCCGAGCTGCCCCCTGCCCCGGGGCTGGCCGGGGGCGGGGGGGGGCCTGGGCTCCCCTGGAGGCAGACCCCACTCCGGGTCACAGTGGGCCTTGTCTCTGGTCTCCACACACATCCGCCTCCACCTGCATCTCAGGGGCTCAGGTCTCATCTCCCAGACCTCGGGGTTCCAGGGGCTGCTGCCCGGTGTGTCTCCAGGTCCCAGAGGCCATGCAGCACCCCCAGCTCCCTGTGCCCCTCCACTGGCCTGGCCCCTCCCCAGGGCGGCGTGGGCAGGGGGTCCAAGTGCCCAAGAGGCCCTCCCAGCACCATCTGGGGATGACCAGGTCTGTGCACAGCTCATGGCGGTGGCTGAGCCTGCTGGGGTTCAGGACAGAGTGGGGGTGGCCTTGGTGTGACCTGGGCATGACCTGGGCGTGGTCTGAGCTTGCCCACCTCACCCTCCAGGGATGGTTTTGCAGATAAAGATGCTCAGAGCCCCGATCCCTGGTCGACCTGCTTATTTCTGGGGATGGGGAGGGGGCACATGAAGCAGGGGGACCCCCCAGCATTTCCCCATCTGGTAGCGGAGGAACCACTGCAGACCCGCCTGTCACCACCTGGCAGCGCTCCTCTGTGTCCGGCCAGGCCCAAGCAGGACAGGCGCCCCCCCCCCCCCGCCCCCCGCCCCCCCCCCCCCCGCCCTCGGCTCCTTGCCTGCTACCCCATCCCTCCAGCCAGGAACCCACCCAGATCGCGGCCCCACCCCTGCCTGATGCCCAGGCTCTGGGGGTCCCAAATCGGGGGAGCCAGGCCTGGGGGGGCGGCCCACCCCCTCCCCACGCGGCCCACCCCCTCCCCACTGTCCTCACTCCTCTTCTCGCCCAGCCTCCTCTGGGGCCCAGCAAGCATCTTGCCTCCCTCCCCCAGGGCCAGGCCATGTCCAGGCACAGCTGTCCCCGGGGCCTGGCTGTGGCGGACCCGTCCTGGTCGCTCCATCTGTCCCCATGCCCCTCCCCCAGCAGACATAAACACTGGGTGCCCGGCGGGGCTGGCAGGAACACCAGGCCACCACGGGTGGGTGGCGGCTTCCGGAGCACCCGGCTCCAGGTCCCGGCGATGTCGGCCCTCTCTTAACCCCCTGCGGGCGGGGCTCCCTCCCCGCCTGACCGGGCCCTCGGGACCACAGAGGTGGACCTGCCCTTGGGATGCTGAGCCCAGGACTGGCTCCCTGCCGCTTGGAATGCCAACAAGGAGAGGCAGGTGCTGGTGGGAGGGAAGGCGTTTATCCCAGAGCCGGCAGCCTGCGGAGAAGGGGGCTCCACCCCAAACACCATCTTCACCACCGGCCCGGGCACGGGGTTTTGTTTTTTTAATGACTTTTTATTGGTTTTTAGAGAGAGAGGCAGGGAGAAGGAGAGCGAGCAGTAGGGATGTGAGGGCACGACACCGACGGCCGCCCCCTGCACGCCTGACAGCGAATCGAACCGGCAACCTTAGGACAACACCCAACCAGCTGACCGCACGCCAGGGCCGGCCCGGGTTTCAGAAGGAGGGAGAGGAGAGCAGAGCAAGATGCAGGGCGGGGGCGGGAAGGGCTCTGTGCGCAGACCCGCAGGGCCCACTCCGACAAGGGCCTCAAAACTGGGCAAACTGGTGTGTGCCGCCTGGTCCTGTCCAGCTGGTCTTCCGGGCGAAGGTCAGCCAGTCTCCGGAGCCGCCGTGCCCGAAGGCCGAGCCTGTGTCTGTGAAGTTAGTCCCTGGGATTCTTCTGTGAAGCTGCTGCGTGTCCCACCCGCGGCCAGCAGGCCCTGCACGGCCAGCAAGCAGCCGCCAGGGATGGAGACAGCGGGCCCTGCAGGGCCAGCCCCGTGGAGGGACCTGCCCGCGGCTGGGACCCCCCCCCCCCTGCCCTGGCTGTTCTCCAGCCTCTGGCAGAGGCAGGCTGGCCTGGGGGACCCTCCTGAGGACAAGGCCAGCTCCTCGCACCCCAGGGTCCAGAGCAGCAGGCGAGCGGCCGCCTTCCCCCAGCCCTCCCCCGGCAGGTGCCGCTCAGGGAAATGGCCGCCTCATCTCTGCTGGGCCGCTGAGCCCAGCTCACATGCCTTTTGGGCTGCCCTTGGGGGTGCGCCCGGGTCAGCCCCCTGCGTCCTCCCCCTGTGCCGGGCCGCCCGCGGGCTCCTCAGAGGCCAACATCCGGCTCCTCCCGGCTGGGAACGGCCACCTTCAGCGTTGCCCTGCCTTGTGCTGTGAGAGGAGGCAGTGCCAGGACCCGGCACCTCTGCTTCCGGGGGGGTGGCAGGGGGGCCCCCCACCCCAACGTCCAGCACATCCCACACCCAGGCGGGCAGTGGCCGGACGCCCCGGGGGCAGGATGAGGGTCCCCTGCCCCCGTCTGGGCTCCAGGGGGGGTTCTGGCTCTGGAAAAGAGGCTGGCGCTGAGGGGCCTCTGCCCGCACCCAGCCCCCCAGTGCAGGGCCTGGCCCGTCCGGATCAGAGTCTCTTACATAAGAAGCCGGCGGGGGGCGAGCGGCCGCTGGGCTGGTCACCGAATCCTGCTCGCCCGGCATCACGCGCCTCGGGGGCTGTCCTTGGCCCTGGGCGGAGGCCAAGCCAGGCCCATAAATAGGGGTCTCCCAGGGCTCCTGCCAGTCCTGCCGGCCTCCCCCGCTCGGCCCACGCTGCTGGCACCAGGCTCCGACGCCGCTCAGCCTGGGAGAATGGCAGCTCCGCGCACCCTGTGGCTGGCGCTGGTCCTGCTGGGGGCCCTGGGCGTCCTGCAGACCCCGGCCCAGGCCCAGGCCTCCGTGCAGCCCAACTTCCAACAGGACAAGGTGAGGCGCTCCCCCGCCCAGTCCCCAAGGCGGACAGGGCTCTGTGGCGGGAAGGGGGTGCTCTCTGCCCCGGGCTGTGTCCCTGGGAAGAGGGCTGCCCCTCCCCCAGGAAGGAGATGGGTGTCCCCCGCCCGTGTCCACGAGTGTCACACGGAACACGCAGACACGCCAGTCACCCCTCCAAACAGTCCCCCCTCGGAGCTCAGGACGCCCAGGGCAGCTGGCGCAGGTTCCACACCTGGGGCCCAGGATGGATGTGGGGACGCAGACAGGGGTGGCCCACAGGGCAGCCACAGACACCCATGGACGCGGTGGTGCTGGTCCTCCCGCCCGCCCTGCGCCCCTTCCCCGGAGTGTCCAGTGTCGCAGACACCCAGTGGCCACCCCCCGAAACTGCCCAGCGCCCTCTGCTGCCCGCTCCAGGGAGGAGCTGCACTGGGCAGAGCTGGGCAGAGGAGGCTGGACCAGGCCTGCCCTGGGGTGGGGCGGACTGGACACGGGACATGGAGGGGCAGGGTGCCCACCCCCGTGGGCCTGAGAGAGTCCCGGCTGACTGGGCAGGGGCCGCTCCCCGCAGTTCCTGGGGCGCTGGTTCACCGCGGGCCTCGCCTCCAACACGAGCTGGTTCCGGGAGAAGAAGGCCGTCCTGTCCATGTGCTCGGCCGTGGTGGCCCCGGCTTCTCCCGGGGACGGGGACGGGGACGGCGTCCTGAACCTCACCACCACCTTCCTCAGGTGCGACACGGGGGTGGGGGGCGGGGCGGTGGGCCGAGAGCTCCCCGCAGGGCCCAGCCTGCCCCACCGCGGCTGGCTGCCGTCTAGGGACCCCCCACACTTGACCCTGACGGAAGGTGACCTGCCCGCAGGAAAGACCGGTGTGAGACCCGGAGCCTGCTGCTGCGGCCAGCGGGCCCCCCCGGCTGCTACAGCTACACGAGTCTCCGTGAGTGGGGCGCTGGGGACGCACTGTGGGTGACTCTGGGTGACCCCCAGCCGAGCAGGCCCTCCCAGTGTCTGGCCTGGACCTGCCCCCTACTCGGGAGAGAACCCGGGACCCACCCGGGAGCCAGTCCTGCCGGGCCCTGTCCTGCCCGGTGGGGTCTCCCCAAACCTTGTGGCCCCCACCCTGCTGGACGGGCAGGCACGCAGCACCCCAACCTCTCCTGGGAGGATGGCTTCCCACCGGGTCTCCCTCCTCCGACCAGCAGAGGGCTGGTGGCTGCATCCTGACCCCTCGTTTTCTGAGCCTGCGTGTTTGCTGCCCCCCAGGATCCTGGTTGGGGGACATGGGGGCCCCCTCCCCCGCCCCTGGCAGAGTTCCCAAGCTGTGCAGGCAGGAGGCAGGGGGAGGGCGGGGAAGGCAGCCAGAGGGGAGTTTCCCGCCCCCTCCCAAGGCCAGAGGTCGGGCAGGCTCGCCCACTGTGGTCATCTTGTCCCCAGACTGGGGCAGCTCGCAGGACGTGTGGGTGGAGGAGACGGATTACGGAGAGTACGCTCTGCTCTACGCCGCGGGCTCCGGAGACCACGGCTTCCACATGGCCACGCTCTACAGTGCGTTCTCCCCCCGCGCCCCCCCCCCGTCCCCCGCCCCCCCCCCCGCCCCCCAGCCTGGCCTCAGGCCTCCCCGGGAGGGGCCGGGGCGCCCACGCGGAGGGGGGCAGCGCTGAGACCTCTGGCGTTTCCGTCCTGCCCAGGCCGCACCCAGACCCCGCGGGCTGCCGTGAAGGAGAAATTCACCACCTTCGCCCGGGCCAAGGGCTTCACAGAGGAGGACATTGTCTTCCTGCCGAAGACGGGTGAGGGCGCTAATCCCCGGGAGGGGGTGCAGTCAGATTAGAGGCAGGCGGTTCCGGGAGGCCGGGGGTCGGAGGTCATCTGGCCAGACCGCCCGCTGAGCAGCCACGTGGCTTACACAGTGGGGGCCATTGTCCTCCCCCCCACCATGGCCTGCAGCCCCGGATTCACCAAGCACCCGGCGTGTGGGCCAGGTCCCGGTCGGCCCCCAGGATTCAGGGGTCTCCAGCCCGGTGGGGGGCAGGTGCTATGGGCACCCGGGGCAGCAGCCCATTGGGGCTGGGACGTGGGCTCCCCGAGGCCCAGTGCCCATGGCCTTGGGGGTCAGGCAGCTGGTCTGCAGCAGGAGCTGGGGGAGGGGTGGGAGTGATGGAGTCACGGTTTTGGGGGTCAGCAGCTCCCCGGGGCTACGGTGGGGGAGTGACCCTCACCCAGGCCCTGACCACCCGCCTTCCCTCCGTCTTTCCTGGCAGATAAGTGCCTGGAGGAGCAGCAGTAGGTGAGTGGGCTGCAGGCTGGCCTCCCCCACCACCCCACCCTCCGTGCAAGGGGAGCCCTTGGCCTGCAGGGGCCAGTCCCAGGGGGCGGGGGTTCCCCTGGGGTTCAGTGAGGCAGGAGGAGCTGGGACCGGGGCGGGATCTGGTGGGGAGGTTGCAGGAGACCCTGAGGGGCTTCCCCTCCCTTGTTGCCTGGACGGCTGGGCGCTGGGTGGGCTGCAGACCCCGGGGTGGGGCGGGGCCGGGCTGCTGCTCCAGCTCCCCTCCTGCTCTCAGGCAGGTGACCCAGCCCTCAGGACCTGGCCGCCCGCCCTGCTCCATCCTCTCCGTGACCCCAAGTCCCCAGCTCTGGCTCCCCGACCACCACTCCGCCCCCTTGGCTTTAGCCTGCCTCGACAATAAAATCTAGAAGCAACTCAGCCGCCTGGCTCCTGTCTGTCTGTCCTGGAGTGGGTCCTCTGTCGCCGCCCTGGCGTGCTCTGGCTGCTCTCTGGGATCCTGACTCCCCCACCCGGTCTGCTCTGCAGGGCACCCTGGGGGGGGGGGGTAGGTCAGAGGTCAGCACAGCTCCAGGGAAGTGCCCGCAGCGCCCCCCACACACACCCCTTGGGCCTTGGAGCACAGCCCTGCCTGTCTGCCCGGCCCCAGGCCCCTGGCCCCCGCAGGGGTGTGGTCCCCGCCCAGCCTGCCCTTCACACTTGCTTCACCCAGATTCCTGGCTGGGTGCATGCTCAGGCCCCTGTCCTGGGCCCTGCCTGTCCCCACATGTGCAGCAGCACCCGCCTGCCCACAGGCCCAGCCGGGCAGAGCTCAGCGGGCCCTGCACAGCACCCGGGGCTGTGAGGCTCAGAGGTGAGGGTGAGCTTCTGAGAGGGCTCCTTGGAGGAGGGGAGTGGGGGGCTGTGCCTGAGCTGAAGATGGGGGCCAACACCCCGAGGGCCTGCCAGGACCGCACCTGCCCCTGCCACACGGCATCCGGCCACCCCCAGGAGGAAGCGCCAGAAGTGGGCCCGGTCCTCGCTGCCAAAACCTGACCTCGACCTATCCCAGTGGGTCTGCCAGGGGGCCAGCCAGTGCCCCAGGACATCTCCTGGGCATGAAGGCCCTGCTCCCTGTGCGCCCTGTGCGGGGTGTCCCCAGACCAGGCCCAGGTCTCCGTCCAGGCTGACTTGGATGCCAGCCAAGTGGGCCCCTCCTCCGGGATGCCCTCTCCCATAGGAGCTGATTCTGGATCAGAGACGGTGTGGTCAGGCTGGACTGAGCCGGCCCCCAGCTGTTCGGGGCCCAAGGCAGCAGGCCCCTCAATTCCTCAGGCCCTCGGTGGGGACCGGTCGGGGCTGCCCTCACCTCAGGTCAGGGTGCACTCGGGCAGGGGGCTGCCTATGTCTCTCCCGGGACCCTCCCTACAGTCCCAGGGCATCTGGTACATGGCTGGGGTGATGTCGGATGACCCGGGCTTCCTGGACGCCAAGGACAGCAGGAAGATGCCCGTGGTCTCCGTGACCCCCATGGCCAACGGCGACTTGGCCCTCAAGTTGGGGTATTCCACGTAAGTGACCTCACGCGCCCACCTGGGCCAGGCCTGAGACCTGGGCAGTGTGAGGCCAGATGTGAGCCAGCAGGAACCGAGGGGCCCCTGACACCTTGCGGGTGCCAGGCTGCAGGCCATTAGGACTCAGCCCGCTCTCCATGTGGTGGCCATTTGCATCGGATCCAGTGGCCTCCTCGGGATGGTGGGCAGGGCTCCCTGATGGGGCCGCGGGCTGGGGCCCTGGGCAGTGCTGGCTGCTGGCGGGAGTCCAGGTGGGGACCCCGGGCTCAGTGGCGCCGGGAGGAGGGATGAGCGAGTGCAGAAAGCCTTGGGCGCTGGTTAAAGTACTTTATTCACATCTGTATTGTGGGTTGTGCAGCTTTGGAAGCTTTGTGGTTTGTATCTAAGGACAACGTGAGAAATACCTCCCGGAGGCGAGAGACTGGGCGTGGAGGCCACGGAGAGGCCGCTGGGACCAGCAAGGGGCGAAGAGGCACAGGCCGGGCCGGGGCGGGGATCTGCACGCGAAGGCGGGAACCCCGGGCTCACGGGGGAAGGCGGGCGCGCGGGGGAGTGAGGGCCAGGGCCGGCCACGGGTGGGGACGCCCCGCGCACTAAGCCACGCCCCCAGCGGCGTAGTCTCGCCCCTAATGTAACCCCCCAGTCTCCGCCCCGTGACTAAGCCCCGCCCATCCCACAAGCCCCGCCTCTAGCCCCACCCCCGAGATAGCTCCGCCCCCCTGATCGCCGCTCGTGAGTCAGCCCCGCCCAGAGAACGCCCCTCCGCGTCCTAAGCTCCACCTGCCCCACGCGGTCTGAGGTCTGACAGGCCCCGCCCAGGCCCCGCCCACTGTGTAGGCCCCGCCCCCACCCGGCCTCTCGCCCGCGCAGGCGCAGCCGGGCCGGCACTGTGTCGGGGCGGGAGCATGTCTGCGCGGCCGCCGCTGCCGGCGCCGCTCTGCACGTTACCGCCGGGCCCGGGGCCCCCGCGCTTCGTGTGCTACTGCGAGGAGGAGGATGGCGGGGCCGAGGGCCCCGGCGGCTTCAGCCTCTAGTGAGTGGCGGGGCCCGCGGGGCGATGGGCGCGGCGGGCGGCGGGCGGGGCCGCTGACAGTCCCTCCCCGCAGCGTGACGGACGCCGCGCAGCTCTGGAGCACCCGCTTCCCGCCCGGCAGCCTGGCGGCCCTCGTGGGTAACGGGTCCTGGGCGGGCTGGGCCGTCCGACCTCCCGGACCTCCCGCGGGTGGAGGGGCGGTCTGGGTCCCCCGGGGGTCTGGACGCCTCGCCCGGGCTCTGAGGCTTCGCCCTAAGATTGGCTTGGGGTCCTGGGGGCTCTGGGTCGGGCAGGTTTGGGGGGACTGGGCCTCGTGCAGACGGTGACGCCCCCCACCCCCCGCAGAAAGCCCGTTTTGGCCTGAGTGCGGCGGAGGACATCGCTCCCCGGTTCAGGTGAGCCCAGGCCGGAGGGAAGGGCAGGCCAGGCCGGAGGGAGGGCAGGCCGGGCCGGAGGGGAGGGCAGGCCAGGCCGGAGGGAGGGCAGCCCAGGCCGGAGGGGAGGGCAGGCCAGGCCGGAGGGAGGGCACGCTGGGCCTGGCCGCAGCACTCAGCCCCTCCCTCCCCAGGGCAGCCTTCCAGCGGCAGGCCGCGGCTGTCATTCTGCAGGAGGATGGGGCGTCCCTGACCCTCTCTGGGGGGGCCCCCGGGCTGGACTTTGAGCTCTCCAAAGTGCCGGGCCCAGAGGCGGCCCCCCGGCTGCAGGCACTGACGCTGGGCCTGGCGGAGCGAGTGTGCAGCCTGGAGCGGCAGCTGGCAGGTAGGGGGGTGCGGGGCGGGCACCCCACAGCCTCCCTGGGCTCCCCCTGCCGGTGCCTCCATTCCTGGCCTCCCTCCCCTCGCAGCTGCAGAGGAGACAGCCGTCAGCCCCAGGAAGAGCCCTCGGCCTGGGGGCCCTCAGCAGTTCCTCCCAGGTGAGGCCTCTCACCGGGCCTGGGGCGGGGCGTGCCCATTCCTCTGTGACTCGGTTTCCCTGTCTGCGTGGAGGGGGGTGGTGGCCCTGGGGTTCCCCTGCATTCAGGCCCCTCCATCTGCTTCCCCCAGACCCAGAGTCTCAGAGAGGCTGCCCGGGACCTGGGGTCAGGAGGCGGTGCCCCGGGGAGTCGCTCATCAACCCCGGCTTCAAAAGGTGACGCCCGCTGCCCCTCCCTCTCGTGCCCAAGGCCCAGCCCTTCCCTCTGCACCCCGTAACGTCACCCCCTCCTCTCTCCCAGTAAGAAACCAGCCAGTGGGGTCGATTTTGATGACCTCTGACCCTGCCGCAGAGAGTGGGGTCCCGCCAGGAGTTGGCCCGTGAGAAGAGGAGAGGCCCCACCACCTCCCCCGAAGAGCAAGCCCCTCCCCCACCCAATAAACGCTGGTCACGCGAGGCTCTGGCTCTTGGGGGCTGGGGGAGAGGGACCGGCATGCCCCCCACTCCTGGCTGCCCCCTGGGTGTGGGCACAGGCGGTAAACAGAGGTGTCAGGCTCACCGTCCCTGGTGGCGGTGCCAGGGACCAGAGGAGCTGCCAACCTCTCCAACCGGCCCAGCCGCCACAGCCCGGCCAGCCCAGGAGCTGAGGGCCATGCAGGGCTGGGCCGGGGCTCCCCAGGACTGGAACTCCGTCACCCCCTGGGGCACACCCCTCTTCCCCCACCCAGCAGGGCATGGCCTTGAGGACCCCATACCATGCACACAGGACCTGCGAGAGATGGGGGGTGGCCTGCTGCCTGGGGTGGGGCTGAGGAATGTGGGCCACCCCACCCACTGGCTGGGAGCCCTGAGGTGCTCCGGCTGGGCTCTGCTCCCCACCCTCCTCGGCCATCCTGCCCCTCCGCCCTGGCCTGACTGGTTTGGGAGCCCAATCCAGTCCCGTCATCCCCGATGGATGGGGGATGGGCTGTTCCCCGCCACCAGTCCCAGCCCCTCTCACTCTGGGCTGTCATCTGAGCAGCCCGCAGTGGGGGCGTAGGGGAGGCAAAACCTCAGCCTTCTGGTCCCTGGGGTGTGCAGGTGTGCTCACTGGGGCAGAGGTGGCTTTGTGGAGCTGTGGATGAGCGGGTGGAGGTGGCGGCAGGGGCAGAGGCAGGGGCACTAGCGGGGGTGCACGACAGGCCGGTAGGCCGCCAGGATCTCGGAGCTGTGCGGACACGTGTACTTGAACTCCTTCTCCTGCAGCGCACTGTCCAGGTAGCGGCGGACGCCACGCAGCTGGGCGGGGATGGGGGCCCCACGGAAGTGCGCGCACACCGTCTGCGGGTGATGTGGGCGCCAGCGTGGTCAGGGCCTCCCCCGGGGCAGCCTCTCCCGCCCGCCCCCTCGGCGCCCAGCCCGCATCGCACTTACGTCCACGATGTGCAGCTTGGGCAGCAGGCCGCAGTCGGCCAGCGTGAGCTGGTCCCCATCCAGGAAGCGGCGCCGAGACTCGTGCAGTTGCGGCTCCCGGGCCAGCTCGTCATCCAGGGGCGCGCGCAGGTAGCCGTCCAGTCTGGCGAGGGCGCGCAGCAGCTGCTGGTACAAAGCTGGGGGTGCTGGGTGAGGACCCGGCCTGGAAGGTACCACACCCCCCCTGACCCTCGCCAAGGCTCCTGACCTTCCTCACCATCGTCCTGCTCGGGCACCGGGTTCTTGATGAAGGCAGAGAACTTGTGAAAGACGTCGTTGCCCGCCGTGGCGGACGCCCGGTAGCGGGGCGCCAGACTGGGGAACCTGGGAAGGGGGGAGGGGAAGGGTCAGACCCTTATTCTGCCCCCCGCCCCAGCCCCACAGCGCCCACCCGGGCTCTGTCCTGGGGGTGCCCCTCCTGCTGAGCCGGGGTTCTCACTCGGGGGGCCCCAGTGTCTCCTCCAGAAACTCCTCGATCTGCAGCGTGTCCGTTTTGGCATCACCGTCATAGAGCAGGATGGGCAGCTGGGAGCCGGGCGCGAAGTCCTTCAGCACGTCCAGGGACCTGTGGGCACAGGGGGCGGGGTAGTGGCCCGGGGGGCAGCGGCCGGCAGGGTCCCTGGGGCAGGGCTCACCTGCGGGTGTCCACCGTGGTGAGCGTGAAGGGCACACCCTTGAGGAGCAGGATCATGAAGAGCCTCTGGCAGGAGGGGCAGTGGCCCACGCTCTCACAGTCCTCGCTCGCCTGCGGGTAGGGGGGTGGGGGGACGTCAGGGCAGAGAGTGCACCAGGATCCCTGCCTCCCGACGGGTGGGGCCTGGCCTCCGCTGCCAAGAGGCTGGAGCCGGGCCAGAGCTCAGCAAGTGGCCGGTGAGGGCCCTTGACGTGGTCCCTGGGAGGAGGGAGGGCCCCAGAGCTGCTGGGAGGCTGGGAGGCTGGGAGTGGGCACGGGGCAGGGGTGGAAGTGGGCACGGGGCAGGGGTGGGACCCTGGCTCTGGGGCCTGGCCCTCAGCCCTGATCTAAAGAGTCTGGGTAGAGGCCAGGGCCCTGGGCTCCGGCCCCACAGGCTGGTCTCAGGGTGGGGTCGGCCGAGGGAGCTGGTTTCAGAATGATTCACAGGACAACTGGGCACCGAGGCTGTGGCACCAGCCGCCCAGTGCCCGAAAGTGGGAGGGTGCCAAGGCCTGACAGCTCTGTGGAGGGCACCACGGTCTGGGCACCAGTGAGGCTGCCCGGCCCCCCTCCTCCGGCACCGACCCTAAGCTCCCCTCGGGCCTGGCCACTGGCTGCCTGCTCGGCACCTCCCTGCTGAGGGGCTGGCCCGGCCCAGGAGCCCAGGTGGGTGTTGGGACAGGGCCACCCCTACCCCTTTTGGGGAGGACTCACAGGCCCTTTTCCCCTCAGGCTAACCCCATCTTATTCAGCCCCCGTAGGGCTGCCTGAGCCCACCCACCCCAGGGGAAGGGGCGCAGACACTGCCACGGAGACCCACCCTTCAGCCCTCTGTCCCCCGAGACAGTGGCACCCACAGAGCACCCCGCCCTGAGCCCCCACCCCAGCCACCCTCCTCCTCCCCCGCCCCCTGGCACCTTGACGAAGAGCTGGAGCTTGGCAGTCTCGGCCATGGTGGGAGCCACAGTGCTGGCCGCTGGGCGGGACCTGGGAGCTCTTTAAGGTTCCTGCCTGGTCCCCCCCTCCCGGCCCAGGGCCCGCCCCGCCCGCAGTCACCTGGGAGGTAGAGGAGGCGGGTGCTGGCGGCTGGTAGGCCATGTCCAAACGTGAGGGTGTGGCCTGGGAGGAACTGGGGGGAGGGCTGGTCCTGGGGCAGGGGGCACAGCTGGGGTCCTAGTGCCTCATGGGGGTGCAGGCCATGACCAGTGGACTGGGAGGCCGAGAAAGAGGGGTGTCAGCCTGGGAGGGGGCAGCTCTGGATCTTCACACACACACCACCCCCCGTGAACATCCCCGTGTCTGTCGGGGACCCCCAGCCCAGAAAGCTGGGGAGTGGGCAGGAGAAGCGATCAGCCTGGCCCCAGCCTCAGTTTCCCCATCTGCCTGCCTTACAAGACGGTCAGCCCCCCAGAAAGGGTGCCTCCACCCACTGAGCTCCATCGGGCAGACCGCCCTGCCCAGGGCGCGGCCCCCAGCCCAGCCGTGCCCTGGGGAGACCCGTCTGGCTCAGTGTCCACCCGGCTGACCCCACCAAGCAGCCAGGCAGGTCTCTCCCTCACAGCCTCACGGGAAGGGGTTTGAAGCCATGGGGTTGGCCCTCCTCCCACCCTCAGGGGGGTCTGGGAACCGCCACCCCACAGGCCCTAAAGGGTGGCCCCAGGACCAGCGCTCCCGGTGGGGGGACAGCCAGCGCCACCCAGTGGCCGAGAGCGGGATCTGCCCTGACTGCTCGCCTGCCCAGGGCCACAGTCCCTATGGGACTCAGGTCTGGGGGCCCCTTCCCAGACCCCACGGGCTCGGGCTCCTGGGGGCCACACTGCGGAGCTCGGGTCCGGCTTCCCTCGGCGCCTCCCCTCCGCCCGCTGGGGTGTCGGGGCCCCTCCGCGACAGGGGGGCCCACCCTGTGTGTTCCGGCCCTGCGCCTGGGCTCCCCACGTCCTGGGGGAACAAACGCCCTCGTGCACCTGTGGGGGGAGCAGCGCGCTCACACTCGCCGCGGACGGACCAGAACCAGGTCAGGCTGCAGCGCCGGCGCGTGGCGGTCACACGCTCGGGGTGCGGCTGAGGCCCTCTGGGGACCGTGTCAGCAGCGGAGCCGGTGCTGCCGCCCGGGCGTGACCCGAGGTGTCCTGTGAACTCCCGTGGGGGGGGGGGGGGCGGGCGCTCAGCTGCGGGACAGCTCCTGCGTCTCAGTCTCACGGGGGTCCGCGGGGCTCGAGCTGGACGCTGCCCCCGAGTTCATACGCGGAAATCCGAGTCCCCAGCAGCTCGGGGCGCAACGTACTGGAGATGAGGGCCTTTGAAACAGGGACTATGTTGAGCGAGGTCACGGCTGTCCTTACAAAAGGGGAAGCTTTGGCTCTGACCAGAGAGCTCGATGGTTAGAGCGCCACCCAAGGACCAAAGGGTCTGGGTTCGATTCCGGGCCTAGAGTGTGTGCTGCTGGCCCGGCTGGCATGACCTATGAACCAGGTCAGGGTTCGATTCCCAGTCAGGGCACAAGCCCCGGTTGTGGGCTCCATCCCCAGCGAGGAGCGTGCAGGAGGCGGCTGTCCAGTGATTCTCTCATGGATGCTCCTCTCCCTCTGCCTTCCTCTCCGAGATCAATAACAATAACAGTAACAAAGAAAAGCCGTCCCGAGCCCCCCGGCGCCCTGCCCAGCGGCATCCCGACGGCTCTGCTCTGAAAGGGGCGCAGGCTCGTCCGGGACCGGGGGCGGGGGCACTGGGGTGGCGCCAGGGCCTCAGCAGGTACTTCCTAGCTCCGCCCACTGAGGGGCCCGGCAGCAGGCCCAGAGCCCAGAAGGGGCGCCAAACAAGACCCCCCGAGAGGAGCCAGAACTCCTTGGAGAAGGGGCCCGTCCGGACGCAGGCCTGGGACCAGCCGAAGGGACGAGGGCTCCCGCGGCCGGGCCTGGGGCCTCGAGCATAAAAACGGTGACAGAGCTGTAGCCACACACGGTCCACACGCTCTCTCGAGATTTTGCCACAATGAAGTTTCACAGGGGACAGTAAGGAACGAGAACATGGTTTTCAAAACCCACGAGGCCCTTGGGGGTTAATGGGGCGATGAGGACACATTTGTAATACGTTAACTAATAATAATAATTAAAAAAAAAAACCCATGAGGTCCTAGGGGTGATCTCTGAAAGCGGAGGAGCTGTGTGGAGGCAAGTGCAGCAATGGGTGGGACATGGCCGCTTGGCAGCCCCCCCGCCCCCCTCCCCCCGTGAAAGGGATGAGCTAGCCACGCGACCCCCGCCCTCCTGGGGGGTCCATGGAAGGGCCCTGTGACCCCGCCTCCAGCCTTTGCACGTGCTCCTACCTGGAC